ATGTAGAGTTAACATGTTGAGGTGCTTGGGAAGAAGAAAGCACAGCATCAGTTGTTGTCAGTTGGGATATTTGGGATTGATACATCTCGTTTAGTTTCACCAAGCGCTCATTATCAGCCTTGAGATCAGCAGTGTATACATCACACTTCTGTAGTTCTAGTTCCAGTTTATGCTTATCCCTGACACACACATCAATTGAATCCTCTCCACTCCAGATATCTACCTTCTTCAGGACAGATCCATGAAATACTTCCGTCTCGTTTTGGAAGTCTTTTAAGGATCGTGAGATATGATGTATCTGTCTGTTCATCTGACGGTAACCCTGTTTCAGATGCCGCACTTCAGAGACAACCTCACTTTTCACGATGTCTTGAAGAGAATCTCCCTGTAAAATCTCGGTCATGGCTTCCCGCATTTGCTCCCGTATGTTTTCCTTTAGTTCAGCTCTCAATGATGCTTTAGCCACATCGATGATGTTAAGTACCCTCTTCTCTACACGGAGCACATCAGCCTTGTTATCAAGCAGATCTTCCTCAATCTGGTCCAGTTTGCGTATGACAGACACAAAACTGTCCTGACTGTTACAAAAGCAGATCAGGGAGGTACATGTCAGCAACCAGGAAAGACTTTTAAACACGCTCATCTTGGAATTGTACAAAATCCGTTGAGAAGTGATTGTCTGTTAGAGAGATGTGAACGTGCACCACTCTGTTCGACACGATGCTTTATGCTACTGATGGCTGGAGCAAGGTACAAGTGTACAGTTACTAGGTTATCACTGTGTTATCAGTGTTGGAGGTCACCCACGGTCAACTCCTGGGTGGAGGGAACTCTCGGTTATCAACGATGTGTGCCCCCAAACAAAAGTAGGACAAAGCCATCAGTTAGCCTAGACTGCTCACCACAATTACAATGTCAAACTGATCATTGTAAATGTAAGAGATGGCATCAGTCATGGTTGTCCGAAAAGTATCAACATAGCGTTTAGTGAAATGTGCCATAATGCCAGGAAAAGATTCCATAAAGCCAAATAGGCGATTTAAAAAATTAAATTATGTTTACAACAAACGCGTTTATAGACGTGAATCTAAGAGTTATTTAAAAAATTGCATGGATAAACATATCAGAATGTACAAAGATGAATTATATAAAATGTTGAGAGAAAAATAGAAACATGACCCGATAGAGTTTTGGAAAATTATAAATGGTAATCGAAATAATGAGGATGACAATTTTTTAGATATCGACGTATTTTATGAGCACTTCAGATCACTAAATGAATCAGACTGGCTGACTGACCGAGTTTGGTTTTAAGGCGCTTTTAGCAATATTCCAGCAATATCACGGCGGGGGACACCAGAAATGGGCTTCACTCATTGTACCCATGTGGGGATTCGAACTCGGGTCTTCGGCGTGACGAGCCAACGCTTTAACCACTAGACTACCCCACCGCCCCAAAAGAATCAGAACAAGATGAACAATAAGATAACGATGATACTGATAATGCTATACAGGTTACATGTGATGTTTTAAAAAGAAAGAAAGAAGAAAAAGAAAGAAGAAACCATTTCTGCAATTAAACAACTCAAGAAGCTTAAGGCATTGGGGATAGACTTGATAGAAGATGAATATTTTATAGACAGTGTTGAACCATACTGAACCGCAAAAGAAACTCAACACCGAAAGACTGACTGACTGATTTTGGTTTTACCCCTTAGCAATATTCCAGCAACATCACGGCATGGGACACCAGAAATGGGCTTCACACTGAACCTCGGTCCGCGAGCCAACACTTTAACCATTAACTCAACACCGAAAGAGGTTTCTTAAAGCACACACTTTAATTCACTCTAACTAAAAAGGAAAACGGAGGATTGAATTGACAAATATGGTTAACACATTTTCGGGAATCACATTTAGAGTTCACAAAAGCAAAATCACCCAAAATGGTACCATTAGGATACTTCAAAGTTAGTATCGTGTGTGACCTCCATGGACATCGATGACAGCGTTACATCTGTACATGGAATGAATTAGCCGGTTGATGAAGGCCATAGGCACTTAGGTCCATACTCTGTGAAGTGCCTGATCAAGTCCAGCCACTGTTGTCGGCCTTAGTTATAGGTCACATGGTATCCGAGCACGTCGCCCCTACCGCGGAGCGTTCCTAACACCTCAACAGCAAGCCAACAGACTGGTTTGGGCCAGACGACTTCGACGTTGACAACATGGGCGAGACTGGGCACAGAAGAGAGCAGATTTTGCATCTTCAGGAACGATGGTCGGTAGCGTGTGTACCGAAGAGTTGGTGAACGTTTGGCACAGAATTGCATTCATCAAGTCCGGTCATTCGGAGACGGAAGTTTAATAGTTGGGGGTGAAATCTGCGGTGACGCCAAAACGAGGCTTGTCGTTTTTCGAGGAAACCTGAATGCACAGCGTTGTGGAGATGAAATTTTACAACCAGTTGTGGAGCCATTCATCCAACAACAGCCTCGTGGAATCATTTTCCAGCACGATAACGCGAGGCCACATATGGCAAGGCCGACTCGGACTCCTCGCCAACGCCAACATTCAGGTTTTACCATTAGCGGCCTATTCACCGGATATGAACCCAAACGAACACTTATGGGACCATCTCGAACACCAACTCAGAAATTGCCCTGTGCCTCCAGTCAACCTCCTGGAATTGGTACAATGCTTCCTTGATGAAAAGCAACGCATTCCCACCTCTCCCTCTTCCCTCTCAAATGTCATCAGCCCATAGATCGCACTGGCGGTATTGACGCTCACAGTGGACATACCCAGTACTAACATGACTTTGAGACATGTTGTGTATCTTCATGTGTGGCAGGGGATGTGGGTAGTCTAGTGGTTAAAGTGGTCACACCGAAGACCCGGTTTGAATCCCCACATGAGTACAATGAGTGAAGACCCATTTCAATCCCCACATGTGATATTGCTGGAATATTGCTAAAAGCGCAAACCCAACTCAGTCAGTCAGTCAGTCATGTGTGCTTGAATTAAATTTTCATTTTGGACCCGTCACATCTTTAACAGGCCTGTCCCAATGATTGTAAAGGATTGTTTGAAATGAATTTTTCTACACATGTTAAGGAAAACATTCTCAATTCTCATCATATCAATATAAAATTTCTGTATCATTTTGATTTTCAAACACTTGCAATAATCGTTTCTTTTGGACATTAGTTTTTATTGTTTAACATAGCACACATCTATAGGACAGCGGTCTGCAAATTAAGTGTCTGAACCAGACAATTCAGTGATTAATATCATGATCATATATCTAGGTAACTGGGATACAAAAACATGTGTCAACCAAACCTGTTAATTGCTTCTTATGGCAAGCATTGGTTTTCATTATGCAGTGCCATTAAGGAAGTAGTCAAATATAACATATGTTATACAGATTCCAGAACTTGTATTTGGTTGTCACGACACAGCATCCACAGAGGCTGTGTGGGTTAGTTCGCTGACTGTGTGTGCTGGCAATGAGGTGCCTGACTCGGAGAGTGATGGGACTGAACCTACTTTGTACAACCTATTTTCTGGGCGGTGGGGTAGCCTAATGGTCAAAGCGTTCGCTCGTCACGCCAAAGACTGAGGTTCGATTCCTCACATGGGTACAACATGAAGCCCATTTCTGGTGTCGCCTGTGTGATTTTCCTGAAATATTGCTAAAAGCTGTGTAAAATCACACTCACTCACTCACTCACACCATGACAGAGGCTGAAACATAACTAAAAGAAGCTGAGTTTCAATGTTTGTATTGCATATCCACATGACCCACGTATTTACATGTCAGAATGTATCACGTAGTTACACATATAAGTGTACAGATAACTACTCCGCTACTCTTTTAATAATGTCCTTAACAAAACAATAAACAAAACATTTCCTTCCGCAGGCTCCCATGATCCAGCACAGAGTCTGCAAGTTCGGATGTGGTACGTGACGATACACTCTGCAGTGTCTTCCATTCTAGAGGAAGGAAGATGTTCTGTGATGCGGTACATGATGGAGACATGCACTGGTCTACCAGATCTTGCTGAACCCTGTGCTTACAACAGGAAGAACGTAATGTCGGGATATTCAGGATTTACCTTGTTAATAAAAGCACACGTATTCCAACCAGATGAATGCACAGAAAAAGTCTCGTCTGATTGATATTGTGTTCAATGAATCAAGAACTTAGTGCCCTTTGACACACACTTCACCTCGTCCAGTTAGTCACTCTTACAACAAACACTGGTTGCTGGGAAATCCTGAAAACCCATGCGGTTCATGATGTATTCCATGGGGGTCAGCATGTATTCAATGAGGGTCAGCATGTATTCCTGGGAGGTCAGCACATATTCTATGGGGACTCAGCATGTATTCCATGGTGCTCAGCTTGTATTCCATGAGGGTCATCCTGTATTCCAGAGTCAGCATGTATTCAATAGGGGTCAGCCTGTATTCCATGAGGGTCATCCTGTATTCCAGGGTCAGCCTGTATTCAAGAGTCAGCATGTATTCAATAGGGGGTCAGCCTGTATTCCATGAGGGTCATCCTGTATTCCAGAGTCAGCATGTATTCAATAGGGGTCAGCCTGTATTCCAGGAGGTCAGCTTGTATTCCAGAGTCAGCATGTATTCAATAGGGGTCAGCCTGTATTCCATGAGGGTCATCCTGTATTCCAGAGTCAGCATGTATTCAATAGGGGTCAGCCTGTATTCCAGGAGGTCAGCTTGTATTCCAGAGTCAGCATGTATTCAATAGGGGTCAGCCTGTATTCCAGGAGGTCAGCTTGTATTCCAGAGTCAGCATGTATTCAATAGGGGTCAGCCTGTATTCCAGGAGGTCAGCCTGTATTCCATTGGGATCAGCACGTATTCCATGGGGTCAGCACACAAACACAGTGATCAGGCCATGCACATATATGGCTTGAGTGACTAGCCACTCTCAGTCTGGATCTGAAGTCCCCCTTCCCATGTTATTTTCCCTGAGTCTGCCAGATGCTGCACCGGCTTTTATCTCTTCCCTTTCTTTCCTCCCTTTCCCTCCTTCTTTGCCTTCCGTTTCGCCGCACGTTTTTCTTTCTTCATGCGTTTGTCAACGACCTTGTAATGGCCGCTGACCCCTGCCGGACGTGTGGGTCGCTTGCCCCCTCCCTTCTTTGCCACAACGTAAGTCACCTCTTTCTTTTTCTTGTGGAGCAGTCCTGCCTTCTTGTAGATCCTGGAACAAACACAGTAATGTCAAGACAAGGAGGTGAGGTGAGGTGAAATTGGGTTTAATGTAGTGCTTGAGCATATTTTGCCATATGACGACGCATGTATGTGTATGTGCGCGGCTGCTTGTACTAGCCCAGACTGAAGCTGGTTTTATAGTGCTAGCCCACTGAGATACTATGCCGCGAGTGAAGCATGAATACCCCACTCAGACACATTATACTGACTCGAAGCTGACCAGTCCTTGATGTACCCATTAATGCCGAGCCAGATAGGGACCAACAAGTACCATATTTTAATGTCTTTTTGGTATGACGCCAGCGGTCGGGATCGAACCCGCTGACGCTAACGACTACACCACGGAGGCGGTCGCAAGACAAGGAGATATTGTGAGCACCAAGTAGACTTGATAAGGTTCAGTTAGAAAGTCGACTGTCAACAATATGGGATTGTAAACATTATCATAGCAAGTAAACTTTAAAAAGACTTGATAGAAACAATGTGTTAGAGAATAAACTTGGTGCAAGAAAGTTAACCAACTAGACCGGATGGGGACATTGTGTTAGAGAGAAAGCTATCAACAAGACTTGATGGAAGCTGTGTATTAGAGAGTAAACAAGATTGGATTGCAAACATTATGTTCTTGAGTAAATGATCAATGAAACAGCACAAAACAAACTATAAACAAGACTTGATGAAAGCATTGTGTTAGAGAGTAAACTATGAACTAGACTTGATGGAAACATTGTGTTGGAGAGTAAACTATGAACAAGACTTGATGGAAACATTGTGTTAGAGAGTAAACTATGAACAAGACTTGATGGAAACATTGTGTTGGAGAGTAAACTATGAACTAGACTTGATGGAAACATTGTGTTAGAGAGTAAACTATGAACTAGACTTGATGAAACATTGTGTTAGAGAGTAAACTATGAACATAGACTGTGATGTAAACTAACTAGAAACATTGTGTTGTTGAGAGACTTGATGGAAACATTGTGTTAGAGAAACATTGTGTTAGAGAGTAAACTATGAACTAGACTTGATGGAAACATTGTGTTAGAGAGACTTGATGGAAACATTGTGTTAGAGAGTAAACTATGAACTAGACTTGATGGAAACATTGTGTTGGAGAGTAAACTATGAACAAGACTTGATGGAAACATTGTGTTAGAGAGTAAACTATGAACAAGACTTGATGGAAACATTGTGTTAGAGAGTAAACTATGAACTAGACTTGATGGAAACATTGTGTTAGAGAGTAAACTATGAACAAGACTTGATGGAAACATCTCCTACCCAGAGTAAACTATGCATACAAGACAGTGTGTTTCAATATAATGTACAGATTTGTTAACTCTTTTACTGTTAGACAAGGAGACTAGTAAACTAACGTTGCACAGTTGGAGAGTAGACATAATGAACCAGACTTCATTGTGTTAGAGAGAAACATTCTGTTAGAGAGTAAACTAACTAGACTGGATGACTGGAAGACATTGTGTTGGAGAGTAAACTAACTAGACTGGAGATGAGTAAACTAACCAGACACATTGTGTTAGAGAGTAAACTAACTAGACTGGATGGAGACATTGTGTTAGAGAGTAAACTAACTAGACTGATAACTAGACTGTGTTAGAGAGTAAACTAACTAGACTGGATGGAGACATTGTGTTAGAGAGTAAACTAACTAGACTGGATGTGTTAGAGACATTGTGTTAGAGAGACAAACTAACTAGACTGGATGGAGACATTGTGTTAGAGAGTAAACTAACTAGACTGGATGGAACATTGTGTTAGAGAGTAAACTAAACTAGACTGGATGGAGACATTGTGTTAGAGAGAGAGTAAACTAACTAGACTGGATGGAGACATTGTGTTAGAGAGTAAACTAACTAGACTGGATGGAGACATTGTGTTAGAGAGAGTAAAACTAACCAGACTGGATGGAGACATTGTGTTAGAGAGACTAAAACTAACTAGACTGGATTGTGTTGAGACTAACTAGACATGGAGACATTGTGTTAGAGAGAGTAAACTAACTAGACTGGATGGAGAGTAAAGTAAACTAACTAGACTGGATGGAGACATTGTGTTAGAGTTATTGTGTTAGAGAGTAAACTAACTAGACTGGATGGAGACATTGTGTTAGAGAGTAAACTAACCAGACTGGATGGAGACATTGTGTTAGAGAGTAAACTAACTAGACTGGATGGAGACATTGTGTTAGAGAGTAAACTAACTAGACTGGATGGAGACATTGTGTTAGAGAGTAAACTAACTAGACTGGATGGAGACATTGTGTTAGAGAGTAAACTAACCAGACTGGATGGAGACATTGTGTTTGAGAGTAAACTAACTAGACTGGATGGAGACATTGTGTTAGAGAGTAAACTAACTAGACTGGATGGAGACATTGTGTTTGAGAGTATACTATCAACAAGATTGGACTAAGTGAAACAAATTGTTCTGGAAAGTAAACTATTAACTAGGCTGGATAAAATTTTGAGTATACTTACTGTTTTATTTATCATTAATTCCCTCTCATCAATTATCAACAGTGAAAAACAAAAAAAAGATTGTGATTGTTGATGATTGTTTGTTGTTTAACTCTGCACTCAATATTCCATCTATATGGCAGCAGTCTGGAAATAATCTTCTCAATTTGGAATACGATGACGAGTCAACAAAGTCAGAGAGCCTGACCACCCTTTTCCGTTAGTTGGTTTGCTGTTTAATGCCACACTCAGCAATATTCCAGTTATATGGCGGCGGTCTGTAAATAATTGAGTCTGGACCAAACAATCCAGTGATCAGCAGTACAATTTGGATATGGTGACAAGGGTCAACCAAGTCAGCCAGTCTGACCACCCAATTCCGTTAGTCGCCTCTTACGACAAACAGGGGATACTGAAGACCAATTCTAACCCGGAGGTGAGGTGAAATGGGGTATAACGTCGTACTTAAGATTATTTCGCTCATATGATGACGTGCATGCGTGTGTACGTGTGGCTGCTTGTACTAGCCCAGACTTAAGCTGGTTTTATACTGCTAGCTCACTGAGATACCATGCTGCATTTAAGCAGGAATACCCCACTCAGACACATTATACTGACTCTGAGCCGGCCAGTCCTTGTTGTACCCATTAATGCTGAGCGCCAGGCAGGGACCAACACATACCATATTTTAACGTCTTTTGGTGTAACGCGGCCGGGGATCAAACCTACGACCTTCTGCTCTCTGAGTGGATGCTCTAACCACTACACCACGGAGGCGGTCCTCTAACCCTGATCTTCATGGAGGAGGGTGCACACTATTGAGAAAGGTCGGAAAGGGGGTGCACACTATTGAGAAAGGGGGTGCACACTATTGAGAAAGGAGGGTGGTGGGGTGCACACTATTGAGAAAGGGGGGTGTGCACACTTCATATTCACGTGAGTTTCAATGGTCATTTGCACCCATGCACCCCCCTCTCTGGATCCGCCTTTGTAATGTAATGTGTATAATGTGGATCTTAGTTTGAAGCAGATGAATTATAACCAAATGAAGGAAATTACAAACCAGCCACTTTCAACAAATGCATACCTTCTTCTTCTTTCTTGCCTTTGCCTCTGCTATCTTCTTGATGGGTCGTGCGTCAACAGACTTGAGCTTGTCTCGGTACTCCTGGATGTCGCCCTGAAGTCATTCACACAGTCAATTAGGGCTGGCTATCGATACACATCATACAGATAGATAAATATTGGAGAAGTAACTCTGAGAAAAAATGACTAATAAATATGAAAGAAATCAACATATCTTACATCAACGGTGAGTGGTAACATATTAAGGTTTGGGTTACCATCAAAACACCGCCCGAACATACTTTAGGAGGTGAGGTGAAATTGGGTTTAACGTCGTGCTTGAGAATATTTCGCTCATATGACGATGTGCATGCGTGTGTATGTGTTTGTGTGGCTGCTTGTACTAGCCCAGACTTAAGCTGGTTTTATAGTGCTAGCCCATGGAGATACCACGCCGCAGTGAAGCATGAATACCCCACTCAGACACATTATACTGACTCCGAGCCGACCAGTCCTTGTTGTACCCATTAATGCCGAGCGCCAGACAGGGACCAACAAGTACCATATTTTAACGTCTTTTGGTATGACGCGGTCGGGGATCGAACCCACGACCTTCCGCTCTCCCAGGCGGACGCTCTTACCACTACACCACTGAGGGCGGTCACATTAGTGTATTTTCTGAGTAAATTTCGAACTTATTTCATCACAATTGTTCATTCATGATATTACTGATTACACAATTTTCATATCAATAATAATTGATAATAATTCCCATCAAAGATATTTCCGATTATCCATGTTTATATCCAGCCCTACAGTCAATGGACACATGCTTGTGTTGTGTATTTGTATGGCATACATAGAGAATACTACATGAGGTCTCATTTCATACGAGAAGTGAGGTCACGAAGTTTCAGATTCGTATAATTTGTATGTAATGAGACCGAGTGTGGTATTTTATTTATTACCCGGTCTTACCTGCATAAAATTGACAAAATGGTGTATTTTTGTTATTTTTATGCTTTCAAACCAAAATCGGTTTTATAAAGAGTATTGTCGTCCAAACACATCGTTAGAGATGTCATCGGTTATCCAATCAAATCGTTAGAATCTTAGGTCAAGTCATTACGCCACAAGTTAACGTGACATGACACTTGAGTGACATATGAGATTATTGGTTAATAAAATACACACCTTGCCCAACCACAGCTTTGTAGAGGGGCATGTGCATAATACATGCATAGAATGAATTTCAATTATTTTTCTTCGTTTTTGAATTGTGTGGTTGTAAAACTGTGCATTGAACATCTGGGCCCATGTTTGTAGTCTGTTGTATACAAGAATCATTCAGTTCTGAATACATTAATTTCAATGAAAGTTTGGCATCTCCTCAAATGAAGCGATATGATGTATGTACACATGGAAAAAAGTATCGCAACAGAGGGTTTTCTTCTTCACTGCAAACAAATACACAAGTGTCCAGTTAGGATTTTGATTGGTTTGTAGTTTAACGCCACACTCAGAAACATTCCAGCTATTTTGCGTCGGTCTGTAAATAATTGAGTCTGGATCAGACAATCCAGTGATCAACAACATGAGCATCGATCTACGCATTTGGGATACAATGACATGTGTCAACCAAGTCAGCAAGCCTGACCATGCGATCCTGTTAGTCGCCTCGACAAGCATGGGTTACTTAAGACCAATTCTAACCCGGATCTTTTAAGCATAAGGTCGTTTAAGTATGGGAGTTCCCATCACCTTATATGATTGTTCAGAGGAAAGGGAAACAATTTCACTCTGCCTGGCTTCAAACACGTACCTTGGTGACAGGAAGCTGGATCCGATTGTGTCGACTTTCATCCTTCACAAACCAGTCGGGTAAACCATTATCGTCAAACATGTATCTACAACAGACAAACTCCACAGCTCATCCATGTGCAGGCATCTCTTTCCGTCACATCTCAAGTTCAAAAGCTCAGAAATTATATCATAATTTACTGCAGATTGTGTTACTGTGAGGAGGGTGAAAAACAACTAATATATATATGATGTATCTATATGCAATTGAAATCAAACATTCATAAATTAATTAACTGATTGTTCCTGATTTCTATGGATAATGAAATGTGGAACAGGTTATAAGAATTTTGTTATGTGTCTACTTGAGCAGAACGTGTCTCTTGATGGAGTCATGTGACTGTTAAGGTGTGTCTAGTCATGTGAAGTGAGTGTGTATTAGGTGTCTAGCAAAGTCAAAGTGAGTCGTGTGTTGTCTAGCAAGTCAAGTGAGTCATGTGTGTCTAGCAAGAGTCAAGTGAGTTGTATGTGTCTAGTGAGTCAAGTGAGTCTGATGTCTGTGTCTAGCAAGTCAGCAAGTGAGTGGGTGTGTGTAGTCCAGTCAAGTCAAGTGAGTCGCATTGTCTAGCAAGTCAAGTGAGTGGGGTATTGTCTAGCAAGTCAAGTGAGTCGAGTGTGTGTCTAGCAAGTCAAGTGAGGTGTGTGTCTAGCAAGTCAAGTGAGTTGTGTGTCTAGCAAGTCAAGTGAGTGCGGTGTGTCTAGCAAGTCAAGTGAGTGGGTGTGTGTCTAGCAAGTCAGCGTGAGTGGGTGTGTTGTCTAGCAAGTCAAGTGAGTCAAGTGAGTGTGTGTCTGCAAGTCAAGTGAGTGGAGTGTGTCTAGCAAGTCAGAGTGAGTCGTGTGTGTGTCTAGCAAGTCAAGTGAGTCGTGTGTGTCTAGCAAGTCAAGTGAGTGGGTGTTGTGTCTGGCAAGTCAAGTGAGTTGGGTGTGTGTCTAGCAGAGTCAAGTGAGTGGGTGTGTCTAGCAAGAGTCAGAGTGAGTCGGGTGTCTAGCAAGTCAAGTGAGTCGCAGTGTGTCTAGCAAGTCAAGTGAGTGGGTGTGTGTCCAGCAAGTCAAGTGAGTGGGTGTGTGTCTAGCAAGTCAAGTGAGTGAGTGTGTGTCTAGCAAGTCAAGTGAGTCGCAGGTGTGTCTAGCAAGTCAGTGAGTGTCTAGCAAGTCAAGTGAGTCTGTGTGTCTAGCAAGTCAAGTGAGTCGTGTGTCTAGCAAGTCAAGTGAGTCGTGTGTCTAGCAAGTCAAGTGAGTCGCGGTGTCCCAGCAAGTCAAAGTGAGTGTGTGTCTAGCAAGTCAAGTGAGTGAGTCGGTGTGTGTCTAGCAAGTCAAGTGAGTCATGTGTCTAGCAAGTCAAGTGAGTGGAGTGTGTGTCTAGCAAGTCAAGTGAGTCATGTGTGTCTAGCAAGTCAAGTGGAGTCCTGGTGTCTAGCAAGTCAAGTGAGTGGGTGTGTGTCTAGCAAGTCAAAAGTGAGTTGTGTGTCTAGCAAGTCAAGTGAGTGGAGTGTGTGTGTCTAGCAAGTCAAGTGAGTCGTGTGTGTCTAGCAAGTCAAGTGAGTCGTGTGTGTCTAGCAAGTCAAGTGAGTCGTGTGTCTAGCAAGTCAAGTGAGTCGTGTGTGTCTAGCAAGTCAAGTGAGTCGTGTGTGTCTAGCAAGTCAAGTGAGTCGTGTGTGTCTAGCAAGTCAAGTGAGTCGTGTGTCTAGCAAGTCAAGTGTGTCGTGTGTGTCTAGCAAGTCAAGTGAGTCGTGTGTGTCTAGCAAGTCAAGTGTGTTGTGTGTGTCTAGCAAGTCAAGTGAGTCGTGTGTCTAGCAAGTCAAGTGAGTCGTGTGTGTTTAGCAAGTCAAGTGAGTCGTGTGTTTAGCAAGTCAAGTGAGTCGAATGTGTCTAGTGAGTCAAGTGACTCAAGTCAGTCGAGCATGTCTAGGTGTGATGTGTGGTCCTGTGCATAGAGCTCAGGTCACAAATCAGGTGAAGTTAAGCAACGATGGGCGCGGAGAGCCCTTGGATGGGTGAACGTGTGTGAGGTGAGGTGAGGTGAGGTGAGGTGAGGTGAGGTGAGGTGAGGTGAGGTGAAATTGGGTTTAACGTCGTGCTTGAGAATATTTCGCTCATATGACAACGTGCATGCGTGTGTATGTGTATGTGTGGCTGGTTGTACTAGCCCAGACTTAAGCTGGTTTTATAGTGCTAGCTCACTGAGATACCATGCCGCAGTGAAGCATGAATACCCCACTCAGACACATTATACTGACTCCGAGCCGACCAGTCCTTGTTGTACCCATTAATGCCGAGAGCCAGGCAGGGACCAACAAGTACCATGTTTTAACGTCTTTTGGTATGACGCGGTCGGGGATCAAACCCGCGACCTTCCGCTCTCAGGGCGGACGCTCTAACCACTACACCAGGGAGGCGGTCTGTGACCGTGTGTGACAGTTTGACTCCTGAGAGTTTCTAGGACTTCAGTCCTGCCCCACAATGACGCACATGTGATACATGTGGTCTCACCTTAGGCAAGTGAGTTTGTTCAAAATTGCCTCTGTTTACCCAGCAGAAAATGGGTACCCGGTGGTACAAGTCATGTGACAATAACCTTGGGTTAACGCTTGGGTTATCTGGGGTAACAATGTGCTGTGCATTGTTAGCGCTATGAGCATACCTGGTGTGGAGTTTGACGCTATCTAAATGGACATTTTATTATTATTAATATTATTAGTGAATAGTGCAGGTCTAGTGAGTGCAGTGAGCCTGATGTCTACTGACCTGTGGTAAGCATTGTCGATGATGTCTCTCTTCCTCTTGCGGGACTGGACCAGAGCTGAGCCAAGAGCCATGCCTACTGGATCCAGCTTGTCTGCAGCAACACAAACATCCATAAAGGCCTTGTCGGAGGGATGTGGTATATACTGAACCCTCTATGTCCAGCATCTACTGGGCTCACATTTCTGGGACGTTTCTGTAAACCTACATGAACCCCTGGATCCTTTCCTGTAGTTCTTGTGATCTAAAATAACCTGCCCTTGATTTCCATTTACCGATTAGATTGGCTACATGTTTAGGTCTAACATACCGTTCAGAATGTGAGTTTTAGAAGGCTGAATGTTGGGTTGGCAAAATCAACAACATGGCAGCCCCACTGATATGATCAAGTTTGCAAGAAATTCAATACTGACTGACACAAACAGAAAGCCCTAAGAAACCTCTTTGAAGAAAAGGATGTCCTTATGTCCATCGAAACTGGCAGTGTGGAGTGTTTACGGAGTGTGAGGGAACATGGTGAGGTGAGGTGAAATTGGGTTTACCGTCGTGCTTGAGAATATTTCGCTCATGCGTGTGTATGTGTATGTGTATGTGCGGCTGCTTGTCCTAGCCCAGACTTAAGCTGGTTTCATAGTGCTAGTCCACTGAGATACCATGCCGCAGTGAAGCATGAATACCCCACTCAGACACATTATACTGACTCCGAGTCGACCAGTCCTTGTTGTACCCATTAATGCCGAGCGCCAGGCAGGAACCAACAAGTACCATTTTTAACGTCTTTTGGTATGACAGCGGTCGGGCGCGACTTTCGCTGAAAGAAAATTTCAACTAAAGCTTTCTCCGGCGGACGCTCTAACCACTACACCACGGAGGCGGTAGAGGGAACATGGTTTTACAGGGGACACCAGAAATGGGCTTAACATTTTACCCACATTGGGTGTTTGGCGTGATGAGCAAATGCTTTATCTACTTGGCTGCCCACTGTCTGGGACCAGACCTTAAAGATACTTGCCTGTGTTTGAGGGTACTATTTCAAAACTGTCTTTGTTACTGCTGTTCTGCTTCTTGTTGCTGGGAACCTCCTGATGTCCAGGGCCTGCTTGCAGTTCGCTGGTGTCATAGTCACTGTCAGATTCTGAGTCATCATCGTCATCATCATCGTCATCATCATCATCACTGTCCTTTTTAACTGCAGGGGTTTTCTTCTTGCGTGGAACCTCAGTCTTCTTTGTTGACTTTTCTGTTTAGAACAACCATTAGAGTGAGTGAGTGAGTGAGTGAGTGAGTGAGTGAGTGAGTGAGTGAGTGAGTGAGTGAGTGAGTGAGTACACATGGTAGTTATGTACAGTATTCACATACGGTATGGTATTTTGTATGGTAATTACGTATGGTAATGTATGCTATTTTTGAGGGTTTTGAAAGGGTAGTTTGTAGTAATATAAGGGTAATGCTATTTTTGAGGGCATTATCATTTGCAGAAGCCCGAGGTCTTCCATTAACTGCCAAACGATGTCAGTGTTCGGTTTTGGTCCATCAACAGCCTAAATAGTGCAATTGTTAATGTTAGCACCAACAAGAAAGCCAATATTACCGCTATTTAAAGCAGGAATTCGGGTTGCTTTGACTTGTTTGACCCAGAATATCTGCCAGTTGAAAGTCAATTAATGTCGAATGAACCGTAAGCCCACGCACCCACTATGATGTCACTTGACAACAGAACTGATAGTGGCCCGTCGTTAAGGTTGAGCGGTCCAATATCCTTTGCAGCAGCCCGCAAATTTCTGATAATGGGAGGGCCGTTTCATGATAATTCCATGTATTTTAGCTATAATGTCTGGCAGTTTTAATGGCAGTTGCACAGTTATCCATGTCTCCAGCCACATACCCGTGATCTCTCCTCCCTGGCTTCTGTACCTGTCAGCTATCTTCTCAATCTCTGCATCTTCGTCCGCCTCATCCTCTATATCAGCAAAGGCACTCTGAAATATTGCAGAGAGTCAGAATCATGTTCCATTCAAAACTCATGATGCAACCACAAAAGTTAACTTTGGTCAGAACATAACCCAGAGCTGATATATTCCTCAATTTTACTTTTCTCCAACCTGGCTATCCTACGAATTAAGGCTGGATTCTCCGATCTCTGATCTATCCGAGTCAACTTTTCCTTCTGTTTACCTGATTCTACCAAAGGTAGCTGTTGGTTGACCCCTACCTTGCTGAACTAGGTATTGCTTGACCCCACCTTGCTGAACCAGGTGTTGGTCGAACCCTACCTTGCTGAACCAGGTGTTGGTCGAACCCTACCTTAATGAACCAGGTGTTGCTCGACTCCTACCTTGCTGAACCAGGTGTTGCTGGACCCCTACCTTGCTGAACCAGGTGTTGGTCGAACCCTACCTTAATGAACCAGGTGTTGCTCTAACTTCTACCTTGCTGAAACAGGTGTTGCTGGACCCCTACCTTGCTGAACCAGGTGTTGGTCGAACTCTACCTTAATGAACCAGGTGTTGCTCGAATCTCTACCTTAATGAACCTTGCTTTGCTGAACCAGGTGTTGGTCTAACCTCTACCTTAATGAACCAGGTGTTGGTCGGACCCCTACCTTAATGAACCAGGTGTTGGTCGGCCCCTACCTTAATGAACCAGGTGTTGCTTGACTCCTACCCTACCAGGTGTTGCTGAACCAGGTGTTGGTGAACCAGGTGTTGCTCCTCAACTCCTACCTTAATGAACCAGGTGTTGGTTGACCTCTACCTTAACCTTGAACCAGGTGTTGGTCGCACCCCTACCTTAATGAACCAGGTGTTGGTCGGCCCCTACCTTACCTTAATGAACCAGGTGTTGGTCCACCCTACCTTTTACTGAACCAGGTGTTGGTCGGCCCCTACCTTAATGAACCAGGTGTTGATCCACCCTATTTCACTGAACCAGGTGTTGATCCACCCTATTTCCCTACCTTGCTGAACCAGCTGTTGGTTGACCACTACGTACCTTGCTGAACCAGCTGTTGGTCCTAGTGCTGGTCTTCACCCCTGGCTTCTGCAAGTCTACAAGGAGAGGGTTTTCTTCTTCACTGCAAACAAATACACAAGTGTCCAGTTAGGATTTTGATTGGTTTGTAGTTTAACGCCACACTCAGAAACATTCCAGCTATATTGCTGCGGTCTGTAAATAATTGAGTCTGGATCAGACAATCAAGTGATCAACAACATGAGCGTCGATCTACACAACTGGGATACGATGACATGCCAACCAAATCAGCAAGCCTGACCACCCGGTCCCGTTGGTTGCCACTTACGACAAGCATGGATTACTGAAGATGGATTCTAACCTGCATCTTCACAGATCCCCCAAGACAATTTAGGAGAATTACAGCATGATTAGATGTTTCCGAGCACATGAAATATCAAACTTTAGTTTCCAGTCGAGCACACCCGACACTCTTCCTACACTGACAATTCAACAACAGGGTACTCTTCAATAAATCTATCACATCCTACAAAATATTTTTGAGTCATAGCAACATAGTACCGAGATCAAATGTACATTAGCATTTTTGATTAAATTCACACTGAGTGACCCTGACTTTCAATGTCATCCAATCGCGTCAGAATTATTTATCACCAGGACCTGCCCAAATATGGGCAAATTCACACTGAGTGACCCTGACCTTCAATGTCATCCAATCGCGTCAGAATTATTTATCACCAGGACCTGCCCAAATATGGGCACTACAACAAATAAGAAGTTGATGTGCCCTGAAAATCTCTACCCATGTTCACCACTTCTAAATCCCCTTCAAAAAACTATTTGGAACACAGTTTAATCTGCTCTTCCAGAAGCTACCTACATCTCGTCATCAGGTCCTGGCCTGTCGTCATCCTCAAGGTCAAGGTCAGGGTCAGAGTCGTACTCCTCCTCCGAAGCGTCCTCCCTGTCCAGGTAGTCCTTGGTGTATCGGTCATATGACAGTGTTGGTCGCTTTGAGGGCGGAGGCAATGGGTCGTCTTCCCACTCCAGTTCCGCCTCTTGCATTTCCTGGTCATCCTCATCCACAGCCTTCAGGTGCTGCAACACACAAGCATCATACAACATTTAAACTGGGGTTGGTTGGTTGGTTGGTTGGTTGGTTGGTTGGTTGGTGTTTAACGCCACACTCATCAATATTCCAATATTTCAATATGGCAGTGGTCTGTGTTGGTTTGGTTTGTTGTAATACACTCGTAATACTTTTGTATAAACTATTACCTGGTACCCACTTCCTACAACAACCAACTTTAGTTTTGATCAAAGTTAGTCAACCTTCCCCAGTTTAAATAACCCGTGAAGATCCGGGTTAGAATTGGTCAGCAACACATGCTTGTTGTAAGAGATTACTAACAGGATGGGTCGGTCAGGCGTTTATTGATGCTTATGCTGTTGATCACTGGATTGTCTGGTCCAGACTCATATTTACAGACTGCTTTACATGAAGACTGCTGCCTGTGCCTGTGTGAAGATGTGTGTCTGTGAGAGAGTGTGTGTGATGAGAGAGAGAGAGAGAGAGAGAGAGAGAGAGAGTGAGAGTGAGAGAGAGAGAGAGAGAGAGAGAGAGAGAGAGAGAGTGAGTGAGAGAGAGAGAGGGAGAGAGAGTGAGTAATTTGGGGGTAGTGAAGAGAGAGAGAGAGAGAGAGAGACTAGGGGTCAGTAATTTTGTACATAAAGATATGTTTAAAATTATGCTTAGTAATTATTTTGGGGGGTCATTGATTTTGTACATGACATGCAGGGGGGTCACTTATTTTGTACATAAAATTTAGGGGGTCATCCACATTGTACATGCTTCTCCATAAAAATCATCATCACCCCCACCAGCCATTAATTATGAACGGTCACTAAAGTTTAGTCTTTAGTTTGAAACCAAAACGTTTTCACTATAAGACATCTCAAATATATATCAATCCTGTTTTTACATATTTTATTCTTTAAGTTCCATAGTCGATCCATCTTTACAAGATATCAAATGCAGCACCAATCAATGAATGCTTTGTCTAAATATCTTCCAGCTTGCGTATGTGTTTTGTCGCAATTTAACTATTATTATTATTGGATATTTATATAGCGTACATATCCCACACTAGTGCATGCTCAAGGAGCTGGTATTTTTTCCCTTGATAATTGGATGTCAATCTCAATGGCACATCTTATTATCTCAACTCCCTCGGGACCATACAACTCTTGCTGCAACAATTCACATCGAGTTATTCCCATCCTTACGAGGTAACCATGATTAAGTTTAATGGATTATGTGACTTATCGTCTAAGTGAATGTTTAAAAGTTGCTAATAATGCCATAACTGCAATTAATATTAGATAATCATGAAAGCGCAGTCAAACTTAAAACCAAAAGAAAAGAGTCCATTCATTGGTTTCTTTTCCCAGACACATCCAATCATATTACAGCATTTACAGGCATAATGAACATTAAGGAGGCAGACGGGCGGAAGTCTTTCCAAAAAGGTAATAGATACTTCCACAGACATTAAATATCAATTGCTTTATTCAAGAACGTTTAGATTCACATATGCATGTTGCATTATTCGTAGATTGGAAGTTGGAACAGCCACATGTATGCTTGAATGTTGGTTTTAGATACGCATCAAAATTGTTGGGTACTTGGGTTCGAGTTGGGTCTGACCCCTCGAGTACTCGAGTCCCAAATGTTGGACTCGTGAGAGCCCTACTTCCCAACGCCATAATCGAAGAACAACTGATTATCCTAACGGGGGATATCTTGTGTTCGTTTGATACAGGCCTTGAGTGTCCTACGGACATCCAATACATAAGGAGCCGTCACATGTAAGGCGCTGTCTATCTTAGGATGGTATTTAATACTGACTCTGTCCTTATGAAAGACTGTTACCTCGGGATTGACCGACATCGCATGATTAGGACTGTGATTAGGACCCCACTACGGGTGGGTGGGCCTCTTTACGAGACATACCATTTTGATACTGATTTTAAGGGTCAAGTTAAGGAGTCGGCTTATCTATGAGATCTGCTTATCTATGGTAATATACGGTATGTTTAGGGACTTAGAATGTAGAAAATACGATTGACGTACAATTACTGTCAATTACTTAAACACTTTATATGTATCGCACGGGTACCAGAATCGCAATATATTGCAATACAATGTATTTGTCAATACACAGCCGTACGTGGGAGTAGCCTGATACCCCTGGCCTACTTGAAAGCCTCTTGCCCAAAGTGTCGACATCAGGCCGAAACCTGAGCTACCAGCGTCGGGGATCTGCGCTGCACTGGGGCCGAAGCCCTAGTGGGTGCTAGTCACCCGGTTCAGATTGAACTGACCTTTGGGTACGATCCGGCCACATTCTGCAGCACTAGAGGTACAAGTTTACATCATTATACAACTTACATATGTTACATACATGTATGCAACACAAAGTGATTGAAGCTCGGACTCTTCCCGGAGCCGGAGCTTGGGTCGGACCCTCCTCCCACAATGCACCGGCTGAGATTTTCTGGTCGATGTGTCTGCAGTTCGCGTCAGAACTCCGGTCGTGAGACACATGGAAGTAGCCTGATACATCAAGATTCCCCTAGTACTCGGGTAGACCTAGTACTCAGGTAGCTCTGTCATATTCGACAGCCTCTTCTTGGCCAAGGCGTTGATAGACATCAGGCCAAAACATGAACTGCTGGCACTGGGGATCTGTGACATACGGCACCAAAGCCTGGGATGGTGCAAGTCCCTAGGTTCAGAGCTTACCTGGAGCTGAAGCTCGTGTATGATCATTCCCTGGAGGTTGGACCCTTCCAGGAGCCAGAGTTCGGGTCAGGACCTCCTCCACAGATACCCTGGTGCCATCTCTATCCGTAGACCAGGTACCAAGCTCCTCTCGGAGCCCAGACACCACATCTGACATCAGAGTGCGCACCAACAATCGACTGGGCCCTGCGCCTTCCCTAGATCAAGCTTGGTGTCATATATGAAGAAGATCCAGTTAACGGTTCTTGAGATATTTCGCTGACAAGGGTAAAACGTTAATGTCCCTGGTGACCTTGAAATGAAAGTCAAGGTCACCAAACCTAACTGGGACCTTTCGCATACAGTAATGAACCTGCACTGTAATGCACCAAATATGAAAACAACCTAGTCAACGGTTCTTAAGATATTCCAATTCGTTCGTAAGTACGTACGGATGGACGGAGGCTCCCCTGCTTCGCAGGATAATAATTCTATTGAGATGTAATTATAATACACGCAACAACAAACCCTAATCTGAAGCGTAGAAGTCTTTCAAGTGCAAATGCACATAGAAAAAGGGAAAGTAGGCCGCCCGCCCACCATCTTGCAAACACACGGTTTGAAGTGGCAAGGCGACCTAAAAGTTATGACATTTATGAACGATTATTTTTCGAAACATGTTCAATATATCGCCCATGCGATTAGAAAAGACTGACTGACTGAATGAATTTAGTTTTACGCCGCTTTTAGGAATATTCCAGCAACATCACGGCGGGGGACACCAGAAATAGGCTTCACAATTTGTACCCATGTGGGCATTCGAACCCGGGGCTTCGGTGTGACGAGCCAACGCTTTAACCACTGGGCTACCCCACCGCCCCCGATTAGAAAAGAACCATACATACAGTATGTGTTTCTTTCTCACTCATCTTAGTCACAGTTTACTAGCAATTCAACATGAAAATGTTTTCTGGACAGCATGCACGTCTACACCATGTCAACGACAGCATGGAAAGAGAGTGACTGTCGTAGGAATTATTAACGGACATAAAAATGCTTATAAGTACCCCCAGGAGGACCTCTTCTGAAAAACACTAATCAGCTAGTCTGTACTTAACCGAGTCTGGAACAGACCATCTAGTGACTGACATCATGAGCATCTATGAACTTGGGATACGATGACATATGGGTCAACCAAGTCTGTGAGTCTGACTTAACCATTAGTCACCCCTCAGCACAAGCATGGGTTGCTTAAGATCAATTATTACCTGGATCTTCATGGGTTCCAATGTGAGCAAAGTCACTCACCTTCTTGCTCTTTATCTTTTTCAAATCAAATATGTCCACATCATCAGTAATGTCTGGTTTGTCGTTGGGCAGCACCATTTTCATGTCCATCTTGTGTCGCAGCTTGGTCTTTTCTTTACGAATTTTCTTTAATTTCCTACAGAAAGACAAATTTACTGAGTGAAATCATCCCCCACAATGACGTGTAGTGTGAGAAGACCCTACACACATACAAAGCAATATATCTTACACAAAGATACATACAGAGTGAAATCATCCCCCACAAAGACGTGCAGAGTGAGAAGACCCTACACACATACAAAGCGAATATATCTTACACAAAGATACATACAGAGTGAAATCATCCCCCACAAAGACGTGCAGAGTGAGAAGACCCTACACACATTCAAAGCGAATTCATCTTACTCAAAGACACATCGAAGTGAAATCGCTGTGAGTGTGCTTACCTCTTGAGAGCCTTCCTCTCATCATCCTCCATCTTCACCAACATCTTCTCTACCTCCAAGTCCTCTTCTTCACTGGCTTCATCATCCCCTTGCTGCCATCAGGCCTGTCAACGAAAAAACTAGCTGCCATTATATAACTTCACAGCTGGCCCAGATAATTACACGATGAACATAAGAGGCATAGCTTTAATACACAACTAAAAACATGTCTAAATTAATTAACAATCAACACAACAGGCCTAGTTTTATTACACACACAACAGGCCTAGTTTTATTTCACACCCAACACAACAGCCTAGTTCTATTACTCAACAGGCCTAGTGTTATTACACACCCAACACAACAGGCCAAATGTCATTACACACCCAACACAACAGGCCTAGTGTTATTACACACCCAACACAACAGGCCTAATGTTATTACACATACGACACAACAGGCCAAATGTTATTACACACCCAACACAACAGGCCTAGTTTTATTTCACACCCAACACAACAGGCCTAGTGTTACTACACACCCAACACAACAGGCCTAATGTTATTACACACCCAACACAACAGGCCTAGTTTTATTACACAACCAACACAACAGGCCTAGTGTTATTACACACCCAACACAATAGGCCTAGTGTTATTACACAACCAACACAGCAGGCCTAGTGTTATTACACACCCAACACAACAGGCCTAGTGTTATTACACAACCAACACAACAGGCCTAGTGTTATTACACACCCAACACAATAGGCCTAGTGTTATTACACAACCAACACAGCAGGCCTAATGTTATTACACACACAACACAACAAGCCTATAGTTTTATTACACACCCAACACAACAGGCCTAGTTCTATTACTCAACAGGAATAGTGTTATTACACACCCAACACAACAGGCCTAATGTCATTACACATCCAACACAACAGGCCTAGTTTTATTACACACCCAAAACAACAGGCCAAATGTCATTACACAATCAACACAACAGGCCTAGTGTTATTACACACCCAACACAACAGGCCAAATGTCATTACACACCCAACACAACAGGCCTAGTGTAATTACACACCCAACACAACAGGCCAAATGTCATTACACAACCAACACAACAGGCCTAATGTTATTACACACCCAACACAACAGGCCTAATGTCATTACACACCCTACACAACAGGCCTAGTGTTATTACACACCCAACACAACAGGCCTATTGTCATTACACAACCAACACAACAGGCCTAATGTTATTACACACCCAACACAACAGGCCAAATGTTATTACACACCCAACACAACAGGCCTAATGTCATTACACACCCAACACAACAGGCCTAATGTCATTACACAGCCAACACAACATGAATAGTGTTATTACACATACAACACAACATGAATAGTGTTATTACACATACAACACAACAGGCCAAATGTTATTACACACCCAACACAACATGAATAGTGTTATTACACACCCAACACAACATGAATAGTGTTATTACACATACAACACAACAGGCCAAATGTTATTACACACCCAACACAACAGGCCTAATGTCATTACACAGCCAACACAACATGAATAGTGTTATTACACATACAACACAACATGAATAGTGTTATTACACATACAACACAACAGGCCAAATGTTATTACACACCCAACACAACATGAATAGTGTTATTACACACCCAACACAACATGAATAGTGTTATTACACACCCAACACAACATGAATAGTGTTATTACACACCCAACACAACATGAATAGTGTTATTACACATACAACACAACAGGCCAAATGTTATTACACATACAACACAACAGGCCTAATGTCATTACACAGCCAACACAACATGAATAGTGTTATTACACATACAACACAACATGAATAGTGTTATTACACATACAACACAACAGGCCAAATGTTATTACACACCCAACACAACATGAATAGTGTTATTACACACCCAACACAACATGAATAGTGTTATTACACATACAACACAACAGGCCAAATGTTATTACTCACCCAACACAACAGGCCTAATGTCATTACACACCCAACACAACAGGCCTAATGTCATTACACACCCAACACAACACGAATAGTGTTATTACACACCCAACACAACATGAATAGTGTTATTACACATACAACACAACAGGCCTAGTGTTATTATACACACAACACAACAGGCCTAATGTCATTACACACCCAACACAACATGAATAGTGTTATTACACACCCAACACAACATGAATAGCGTTATTACACACCCAACACAACAGGCCTAGTGTTATTACACACACAACACAACATGAATAGTGTTATTACACACCCAACACAACAGGCCTAGTGTTATTACACACCCAACACAACATGAATAGCGTTATTACACACCCAACACAACACAACAGAACATGAGTTCTGTAAAACACATTGACCACAGCAAACAACAGCGCCACGGGCTCTTTACCTGCTGGCTTCAGGGGCAGTGGGGTAGCTTAGTGGTTAAAGAGTTGGCTCGTCACACCGAAGACCCGGGTTCGAATCCCCACATAGGTACAATGTGTGAAGCCCATTTCTGGTGTCCCCTGCTGTGATATTGCTGGAATATTGCTAAACACGGTGTAAAACTAAACTCACTCATTCACTCATGCTGGCTTCAGTTGCATATCCCCAGCTTAAGACCTATCAGAACACAGATAACATGAAAAGTCATGATCACCTACCTGTCTGCCTCCGCTGCATCCTCCGTGACGGTGACAGCCCCAACCCCTAGCTCATCTCGCAGCTTCTTCCGCCATGTCAGCAAGCCCCTGCAACACTGACATGAGTAAGTACCTGCACCAATAATCACCTCTTGGTCTTGTCATATAAACATACAATATTCACCACACTTGATGTCCTTGATCAGACAGAAACGAAAAACTAACAAACTGACACAGCTGCCACAAACTTGTCTTACTTGATGTCCTTGCCCAGACAGTAAAGAACACTACAATAAGACGATTCAGCTGCCACAAGCTTGTCTTACTTGATGTCCTTGCCCAGACAGTAAAGAACACTACACAGCTGCCTCGACAATTCAGCTGCCACAAGCTTGTCTTACTTGATGTCCTTGCCCAGACAGTAAAGAACACTACAATATGACAATTCAGCTGCCACAAGCTTGTCTTACTTGATGTCCTTCTTGCCCAGCACTTTGATGTCCTTTAGACATTCCTTCACCTCCGCCGTGGTCAGACGGTGGTTCGCGATCCGCTCCTCTTCAATTGTCACCTGTACAAAGTTATTACACTGCCTGTTAGACTAACACTCTTCATGGCAAGGCTGAAAGGTTGGTGTTACAATAATTAACTTGTATGGAAATATATGCTTGCCTGACGGTCCGAGGCTAGTAGAAACTACCTTGGTCTAACAAAATTATACTTCTACTAGCCTGTTTAGCCTGAAAGTGTATAGACACATGCTGTGAATTATACATTGTACTCTTGAATTTCCCTGTGAAATCACAACACTGGACATATAGTACCTTTCTAGTCTTTAAAGATGAAAGTCTGACAGCTGCAGCTTACATTTGTGGCTTGCTGAAGACCAATTCAAACCTGTCTGATGGTTTTATGCCACTTTTAGCAATATTCCAGCAATTACAGGATTTGTGGTTACCATGGTTACACAGCACTAACCTGATTGGCTCCTGCCAAGAGTTCGAGGAAGTTATCAGCAGCCAAGAACTTTGATGCTGACAGTGTGTGGAACAGAGAATAGTCTCCATCTGCATACCCCTCCCGATGTCTGTACAGAACACGAAGCTTACATGATGATACGTGATATACGACGTCCACCAACCAAATCAAGTCCAACTACCTGATCCTACTATTTTCCTCTTCTGACAAGCATAACTGACTCCTCTGATTAGCATGGTTGGCTGGTTTGTTGTTTAATGCCGCACTCAGCAATATTCCAGCTATATGGCGGTGTGTATTTTACATGGCGGTGGTCCGAAAATAATTGTATCTGGACCAGATAATCCAGCTTGAGTAGCAATCTGACCCGTGAAGGTCCGGGGTAGAATAGCCCTTCAGCAACCCATGCTTGCTATAAAAGGCGACTGTGCTTGTCACAAAGGCAACTAACGGGATCGGGTGGTCAGGCTCGCTGACTTGGTTGACACATGTCATCGGTTCCCAATTGCGCAGATCGATGCTCATGCTGTTGATCACTGGATTGTCTGGTCCAGACTCGATTATTTACAGACCGCCACCATATAGCTGGAATATTGCTGAGTGCGGCGTAAAACTCAACTCACTCACTCACTCAGTAGCAATCTACACAATTGAGATATGATGAAATGTCAATCAAGTCAGCAAGGCTGACCGCCCGATCCCGCTAGTCTCCTTTCACGACAAGCATGGGTTGCTGAAGATCAATTCTAAACCAGATCTTCACGGGTTCTGATCAGCACAAGTTGCTAAACAACAATTGTATATGTAGCACTTTGTTTGAAACATAGCTCTGTGCACCCAGCAGAGAGTGGGTACCTGGTAGGATTAGATGGTAACATGAACAATAACATTGTCACAGGCAGCCTGGCTTGTAAACTCCTCAATGAACTGGGAAAGAAAACTGAGCGCACACTGATATATTGTTTGTTTGTTGTTTAGTGTGGCACTCAGCAACATTCCCGCTATATGACGGTGGTCTGTAAATAATCAAGTCTGTACCACACAATCCAGTGATTGACAACATAAGCATCAATCTAGCACATTGGGATAGAATGACATGTGTCAACCAAGTCAGCGAGCCTTATTACCAGATCTCGTTACTCACCTCTTACGACAAGTATGGGTTACTAAAGACCAATTTAAACCTGGATCTTCACAGGTAGCCTTAGCTTGGAGTCATAGTCAGGAGTTTTAGTGAGCCTTGAGCACATTTATGGCTTGTTATTAATACTTTTGCAAGACTTGTCACTTTCTAAACACAAAAGATCCGGGTTAGAATGAATCTTCAGCAACCCATGCTTGTCGTAAGAGGCGACTAACGAGATCGGGTGGTCAGGCTTGCTGGTTTGGTTGACACATGTCATCGGTTCGATGCTCATGCTGTTGATCACTGGATTGTTTGGTCCAGACTCGATCATTTACAGATCGCCGACATATAGCTGGAATATTGCTGAGTGCAGCGTAAAACTAAACTCACTCACTCAGTAAGGTAGGGGTCGAGCAATACCTGGTTGAGCAAGGTCCCAGATAGCAAAGGTGTGTTGGGCCAATGTTGGTATATGGTTGGTTGGTTGGCCAACAGTTTGACAACATTGGCCCAACGTTATCTTAATGACTTAAAAGTAACGGTGGCTTTTGACACGTTGGTCCAACAGTGGGTCAACATTTGAAAAACTTTGCCTATTTTCCCTGATCTTACATCTATTTCACAAAGTTGGGCCACCGTTGGCCCAACATTGTGAATAAAAGAGTGAGCACACGGCCATTTTTAGCCATGTCTTCTTATTAAGATTTTGATGAAAGTTGAAATAATTACACAGGCAAAAAGAAAGAATCTATTTCCCTGTCTTTCAACTATGATGCAGTGAATTTTACAGCGTTGTTTTCTCCAAATTGAATACCAAACTTGTCATCATTGATAGCTTTACCTGATATTCAAAGAGCAGACGACACTACATTTCTGGAGGCCTCCAACTGGTAAATATGCATTGTTATTTCTGTGATACTGAATTGTGAATATATTGTGAAATAATTGGTTTAAATCATCATTTAGGCTAAAGAAACTGACACATACTGTATTGAAAGGCAGTTGATTGAGTAGGTAAAAGATTTAATTGACTCTTTTCTTTAGGTAGCCTGTTTTAACCACATTGATAAATCTCATTTCATTTTAAATTATTTAAATTTATTGTGTTTACTTTATGAACATCATGTGTTTGTCAGTTACACTCCTGTTTCCATATACAACTCTCTCTATTATTCATCTTTACAACCAATAATTGCTAAACATCATCATATATATACCGGTATGTGTCAAAGTTATAGTAGGTACACGTCATATCCAAATAAAACATTGTTTGAACAGCATTCTAGAAGTTGGTGAGTCAAAAATGAAACATACAACTCTATGGATGACAACTTCTTGTTTATTGTATAGAGCTTACGCCGATGTAGATTCTTACACTGTTATCAAGCTAAAAGTGACTACAACCAAATGATGAGAAGTATATATACATGTACATAGTATGTTTTGTCAAATAAACATAATTGGGAGCAGCCAGCTGGGGACTAAGAACAACAAATGGATCTAGTGATGAAACCAATTAACAAGGAAGGAGGGGGAGGGGAGGGTGGGGTGTTAGGTTGTAACAACCTGATAGGGTGATTTGATAGAGTCTATAGTTTGATTAGTTCTTCATATCCCAATGGTATGTAGTATCCTTGGTCTCTATTGATCAAAGGTTTGTGGGGGCTGATTTCGATGGCTTCCAAACGTTTTCTTTTTGTGAAGTCCTGATTCTTTGGTGGATAAGATTTCAAATTTGTCAAACCAGCCCCCTAAAACTAAGTTTGGCGTCATCTCAACCCTGATCAAGCACACTAAGAACATTTGCTCCAGCAGCCATGACCTAGAACATGAGCGGAACCACCTACAACATGTCTTCAGGAGCCTCAACCAGTAACCCACCAACTCATAGTCTGTTTGATTTCATTTGAGACCAATGAATTGCTCACTAACACAAAATCTAATAATCGCAACAAAACCAAATTTTGCACTCACATGAAAACAACAGACCAATGAAGAACTATAGACTCTATCAAAGCACCCTATCAGCTTGTTGTTACAACTGAATCCCCCTTGTTTATTGGCTCCATCACCATTCTATTTGTTGTTCTTAGTCCCCATCTGGCCTCTCCCAATAATGTACCAGTTGTTATTCAATTACATGTTGTTGTTAATGTCAATCTGCTGATTGTCAAAACATACTACGCATATATACTTCTAATCATTTGGTTTTAGCTTGATAACAGTGTAAGAATCTACATCCGAACGTCACTCTGTGCAATAAACAAGAAGTTTTCAGTCATTAAGGTGTATGTTTCCAAATAAAACATAAGGTCAAATACTATGTCCTTTTACGATAGATCTCATGTCTAAAATTATGATATCTGACAGTTTCATGAAATTATTGGGTTGGTTTTTTTCAGGACCAGTTCGAAAAACCTGTCAGCGGCGACAGCCAAAAGACCTAAGACAAGAATATTTTTAAGAAATACAATAATGTTCAAATAACAATGAAAGAAAAATTAAATAGTTCACTTGATTAACTTGTTGTGTTGTTTATATATGTTTCTGATTGCAGAGGTCAAGAAAGAGCTAAATGTTGAAATACTGTTGTGCCAACATAAGGCTGACTAAATCACATCGTTGGGCCAAGTATTGGCCACGGTTTAGTACAAAGGTCAAGAAAGAGCTAAATGTTGTAACACGGTGGTGCCAACATAAGGCCAACAAAATCACTACGTTGGGCCAACTATGGGCCATGATTTTGTGTGAATTTTCATTCGTTGGCCCAACAATGATCCAACATGATGGGCCACTGTGGAGCCGATGAGCATATCCAAGTGGGCCCATCGTCAGTTTGACAACCATGGGCCAACCAAACCGGTGATTATGGGCCAACTATGGGCCAACATATCAATGCTATCTGGGGTAGGGGTGGACCAACACCTGGTTCAGCAAGGTAGGAGTTCACTAACTCACTCACTCACTACACACAAAAAACAATATAAGATCATGACCATGCGACCAAATTTGACCTTGAACCTGTGACCTGAGCTACATTACCTCTTCTTTTTCTCGGGATGAATTAAGTCGAGTAATTGACGACCTTCCTGCTCCACTTCCTGAAACACGTGCTTGGGGTTCAAGAACTTGGGGTCTATCTTGTCCGGTGCCAAGAATCCTTGACACACCACAAAAATCTCCGCAGACTCATTCCTGGATGCCTGTGGTTTGGTTGCATTCACACTCTGGAACAGCTGCTGGAGTACCCACAGCAGTGAGTAGTAGTCCTTGGAACGGAAAACCTTTGTCACAAACGATCCCCCCTTCCGCAAGAAGTCAGTTGCAAGCTTCACAGCATACAAGGTTAGTTCAGCTGGAACAGAAGAAACAACATACAGTCGTGATGCAATTCAACTTGACATGAGTGAGTGAGTGAGTGATTGATTGATTCCATGCCATTCCACTGAACAATGTGCTCTGATCTGCGATTCTGATGTTCGATGTACTGCGTGTTTAAGTGTCGTAATTAAAAAGCTGTCAAACTGAATCAAAACGAATAGTGCCTTCTATTCAAGAGAGAGAGAGAGTGAGTGAGTAGTGTTTTACGCCACCTTTAGCAATATTCCAGCAATATCACGGCGGGGGGACACCAGAAATGGGCTTCACACATTGTACCCATGTGGGGAATCGAACCAGGGGCTTCGACGTGATGAGCGAAAGCTTTAACCACTAGGCTACCCCACTGCCCTTCTATTCAAGACAATGTATATTTTATAAGTGTTACCTTGTTGGAATGCATCATGGACCCAGTTCTTTCCCACATTAGGAGCGCCATCATTGAGGAACACGTCCGCCTTCCATGTCTTCAGCTCCTGCTTCAGTATCTGGAGAGGGGGAAATATTTTGGTTTCAGGTGTGTCATGTGAGATAACTCCATAACATGTCTGGGTGTGCCATTAGTGAGTGAGTTTAGTTTATTGCCACTTTTAGCAATATTCCAGCAATATCACTGCGGGAAACCAGAAATGGGCTTCACACATAGGACCCAATTACAGTTGAACCTGGGACTTCAGCATGACGAACGACTGCTTTAACAACTAGGCTACCCCGCTGCTCCTTGGCATGAATCTAGCTTTCATCTAGCACATCTATCTAATTGAACTTTTTCTTACCTAGATTACCACTAATATATAAGTAATTTCTAGTCATGACTATAGTCCTAGGCCAAATGTTAGAAAAGTCCCTATCTTTTAGGATCTCTCAGCAGCAGTAAAAGCGTTATCCAGTAATTGGTATGACAACTCCCACCCTCCAGAGATTCTTGTCAATGTGGAACTAGACACAGAATGTATCAGGTTGCTGAAAACAAACAAGGATTACCCCGCTGTTGAAACAGTGTCCACATGTTCATAGACCAACTTCATGAGTATTAACCGAATGGTTTAATAGAGGGTGACAAGCAGTGGTGTTCAACATGATCAGGATATGCAGGATGGGTGATAAGGCCTGGTGTATCATATTACCTGATAATGATGTTATCTCTACATTTGGCCTAGGAGTAACTATCAGTTATCTAACGTTCCAATAGAGGGCGCAGCTGGTCCTGCAATACGTACCTGGCGACATTTCTCTGTTGTGATGTCTGCCTGGAAGGTTGTACACTTGGGGATCGGACGAATGGAGACCAAGTCAATACCTGACAAACAAACAAACAGAGATGTGGATATGGGGACAGTCATGTTGAGCTGGCTGGATAAACCGATAATTGGAAATATTGTTGATGGGAAGAATTAGTGCATGCCGAGATACTGACAATGGGACAACTTTCCAACAATGAGACTGGAGATGGGTGTGTTCTGTAGTGGGTGCCGACTTACTGACAATGAGACTGGAGATGGGAGTGTTCTGTAGTGGGTCCCGACTTACCGACAGTGAGACTGGAGATGGGTGTGTTCTGTTGTGGGTGCTGACTTACTGACAATGAGACTGGAGATGGGTGTGTTCTGTAGTGGGTGCCGACTTACTGACAATGAGACTGGAGATGGGAGTGTTCTGTAGTGGGTGCCGACTTACTGACAATGAGACTGGAGAAGGGTGTGTTCTGTAGTGGGTGCCGACTTACTGACAATGAGACTGGAGATGGGTGTGTTCTGTTGTGGGTGCCGACTTACAATGAGACTGGAGATAGGTGTAAACTGCAGTGGGTGATGACTTACCGACAATGAGACTGGAGATGGGTGTGTTCTGAGAGGCAACCTGCAGCCAACCCCCTGGGGCTGCACATAGGTCCACGACCACACGAGCTTTGTCCAAAAATTCAAACTTTCTGTTAAGTTGTATCAATTTGAAGGCAGATCGAGCTCGATATCCTGAAACAATCAAATGATCACTAACCATCAAATGCTTAGATATTATAACCTAAGATCAATTGTTTCTCTATGAAAATATATGTGAGGGTAAAACATCATGTTGTGGGTCTACAATAATCATAACGATAGCATGTGACAGATCAGGTTTAGTACTATTGAGCATGTACAGAGTGCACTTTCCTCCGAGTAATTAATTATTTTAGGAAGAGTGAGTGAGTGAGTTGAGTTTTACGCCGCACTCAGCAATATTCCAGCTATATGGCGGCGGCCTGTAAATAATCGAGTCTGGACCAGACAAGCCAGTGATCAACAGCATGAGCATTGATCTGCGCAGTTGGGAACCGATGACATGTGTCAACCAAGTCAGCGAGCCTGACAACCCGATCCTGTTAGTCACCTCTTACAACAAGCATAGTCGCCTTTTGTGGCAAGCGTGGGTTGCTGAAGACCTATGCTACCCTGGATCTTCACGGGTCTTATTTTAGGAAGATCTTCTTTATTTGAATGAACATTTCATGACACTTTAATAAAAGATACAAATATGTTTGATTTTATCTGTATGTCTAACACAATGGTCTGCAATCAGCAACAAAACCTATTGTGGGGACATCACTACCTTAAGTACTGAGGACCTAAACTGTTATTTTTCATCCTTATAAAAAATAAAAGGTGCCGTTTCGTCAGGCGAAATCTGTAGTGTTTTGTTGAGGTGCGTTTGAGTCTGCACTCTTCGGGAAACATGGACACTAAATAATAATTAAGGCTTGAACTTATAAGGTAACTTTTTCGCCTATTGATCAAGTCAATGAATGACAGATGTACATACACAGCACAAACGTTTTTCTAAATTTAAAACACGCACCTGTTTCTTTCGCTAGTTTGTAAAACTTGTCCTTCCTAGCTTTTCCAACTTTGGCCTTCTTCCCCATATTTCTATTTAGCAAAAGCACATGTGTATGTCTACGTCAAACGCTTCCGGTGAGTTCCCGGAAGTTCTTAAAGTCCGGGGAAAGCAGATGTTTGACACGTATAGACGAAACAAGCAAAAATGTATGAACATATTTCGTAGCAATGATTCGACTTATTAACAAAGAGAATTATAAAATGATGGAAAGCATTTATTTTTGTAAATCTTCATTTTAATAGATTTATTTGAACTACAATTAGTGGTCTGGTTCGGTTAGATGCTAGAATGATTTTGTTCGTGAACTACGTCATATTGCACAGAAAAGAGTGACGTTGAATATCCCATGTGGTAAATTCTGAGAGTTTAGCACGAATTTGCTGCAATATTATTTGCAGTTGAGGGATTAATACAGCCTCATCCTGTACAGTCTGCAAGAAAACTATCAGCTTATGTTTTCGGTTTCCATAAAACAGGTAATTCGTTTCGACTATGCCATCAGATTGAAGTAATTTCTTGGGCTGAAACAACCGGCATAAGCGTATGGTGCATTACTGAAGTTTCTCCGATCGGGAACATATGGCAAGATCGTAGGATAGTTGTGAAATAGTTATTTGGTTTGATGATCTTTTATGGATAATGTTATTGTTGCTTGTGCTTTTGGCTCATGATAAGTGTGCGAAATGTCTGCATGATTAGGATAAAACACTGATTCTTGCTTGGAATTTTCTGACTGTTGTGAAGCGGGAAAGTACGATTACTTTTCTTCCAGTTTTCATTCTTGGTCTTTTCCTGATATTATGGATTGGTTTTATGTCTGTAGTGTCGAAAGCTTTATATTTATGTTCATACCATGTGGGAAATAGATCACATGACCTGTTTAACATAATCCAAAATTTGTTATGAACAAATCAACATCAAGGATTAAGATACCATTCCATCACATATGTTTTTGCTGGACATGAATTCTGTAGAGTCTCTTTGAATCGCAGTGATATTTTGCGAGATGTGACTTCACCGGTAGCTTGTTTGTCACCACTTCATTTGACAAACATAGTTCTTGGAAACAGAACACTAAGACAAAATCAGAATACAGAAACGTACCCTAGGACGAGTCCTTTCAACCTTGTGCCGTTTTCTTGATAGGAACTGTCATGATGTTGTATTAGATGCATTTGATTGCATTATATAGGAAACAAGCATACACAGTAACAAACAATTTGTGATGCACAATACCACTTGCAATCAGTTGAAGGGGAACAGCTACATACGGTTTCGTTTGTTGGTTACGGAATATTGATTCTGTACTGGCTAGCGAACAGTTATCGCTGCGTAACAGTTATCGCCAAGACATCAGTATCACACATGCAGAGTTCTGGTCAATTACAATTCCGGTATTTTTTCCCCACAGCATTTGACAACAATATAGGACAGCAAAAGAAAATTATTCACAGCTAGTAACAAAAGAGAAAAATTACAGATAAAGGAATGAGCCCAAATTTTTTTTACTTAGTCGGCGGGATGTCACACGACCTATATAATAGCAAGTTCAAGTTCACAAGTCATTGATTGTTTTAGTCCCTGTCGATCTACTGTAAAAGAAACACTCAAATAGTAACACAATCAATTATAAGAGGTTACTGTATGATATAAATATATATTATTTCACGAATGGCATGAGAAATTTTGAATGGCGATAACTGTTACAGTTAGTTGTGAGAAAACATCTATTTATGATTCTATGATTGATTCCCTTCCGCCGCGTTATAGTAGAACATGATCAGCGGCAGTGAACGGGCTGGACACATTGGTAAATAGCTAATTAAGTATCATAATTAATTCTGTTTCATTAATTTAATGAACGGCGGAGTAATTTTGTAAATACTGCAAAGATATGGCAATAACTGTTCGCTAGCCAGTACTGGTAACGTTTCTGTAATTTGACTTTGTTCACCGCACATTTCTGTATTACCCGTAATGACGAATTACCCCCCCGAACCGGCCCCAAGCCGAACCGGCCCCTGATATTTAACCCGAACCGGCCCCTGATATTTGACCCAAACCGGCCCCGAGAAGTAAATATTTCTACATTGACATATGAATTAAAGTTCCTTTAACATAAATGACGAAAACATATTACTCATATGTCTTTACGTGTAATATCGATTTTTGAAAATATATTAGCGAATATTAGTGTCGATGAGAGGCAAGTGAACATGCAAGTGCTGCTGATCACGGAGATCTCGTGGTAGAGGACATTTTATGTAATTCTTTTAAGAATCTTAAAGATCAATTGCAAAACAATACTAAAGTAAAACGTGTACTTACATTTCGTTGTATCGGATCCACAGAACTGACACATTAATTCAATACAAGAATAGCACATAAATCCAATATAATGAATTCACGTTTCACCTTTGTTATGCCCAAGTTTCCAGTAACGAAAAATAATGTCGTCCTTCATCTTTTCGCATGTTTCCATGTGTGGAACATTTGTCAAGATTTTCAACACACATTAACCACCTTTCACAGAGTGAATTCTGCTAACATTATGAAAACTAAAACATTCTTCAGCTCCAAAATTAAACTGTTATTTTACGTACGTCTCACTGAGCGATTAAAGTGAGTGTTTTGTTTTAATATTTCTTTGAACGGATTATTGTGAGCGAATTAATGTACATGTTGTCTTAAGCGTATGCTCTTACTTGACACTGATTGCGTTCACCGTGTACTGTTATCTTCACCTTGCGTATAATCTTATAAATCACATTATCTGAAGGACATGATTCATAATTTGTTCATCATGGATAACGTGTCCGATTCTTGCGTTTACTGCTCATTCACAAAGAAGCCCTGTACTGCTCATTTAACCTGGGGCAACTGTTTAGACCAGGGCAGATACAAGACATCTGGACAGAATATTCACAGGGCATCAAGACTCCATCCCAGACCCTTATTCTAATAACATTGCATCTCATAACTAGGATGGAAGTAGCTTCATGGATGTAAATATTTAATAAATTAAAGGAAATCTTCATGTCTGTATAGATATAATAAATTAACTGAAATCTTCATGTCTGTATATATATAATAAATTAATTGAAATCTTCATGTCTGTCTGATTAATTGTCTGTCTGATTACCGTTAATTAACCCAGGGGCCGGTTCGGGTGCGGGGCCGGTTTGGGTTAAATATCCAGGGGCCGGTTTGGGTTAAATATCCAGGGGCCGGTTTGGGTTAAATATCCAGGGGCCGGTTCGACTTAGGGCCGGTTCGGGTGTATCCCGTACTGACAACCCCTTCAGCATAACTAACCTCCATGAAAGAAGAGTATTTTAACAGTTTTTAAAGATTTAAAGTGCTGTCAAAGATCTAAGTGATAGATTGTCTACTAGATGCACTAGTAGGTGGACATTGGTGAGGAAATAGTCGCTATTTTATTATCATCATGATCATGTGGACAGTGATCCATATCTGATCTTGTAGGTGCAATGACAATTATTGTGTGCAGATTGGTACACACAGTTTACCTTTGTGCTTCAATTAGGTGCTTGACTCTGACAGTTTGGGTTCGAATCCCGGTTGGAACCCAACCTAACAAAAGTCCTAGAATCTGGACTTTACTGAGAAAGTGTAATCCCTAATATAACATCTTTTTCAACATTCTCTACGAACACCTCTGTGGTGTAGTTAGTGGTAAGAGTGTCCACCTGGAGAGCGGAATGTCGCGGGTTCTATCCCCGACCAAGTCATACCAAAAGACGTTAAAATATGGTACTTGTTGGTCCCTGCCTGGCGTTTGGCATTAATGGGCACAAGTACTAGTCCCCTCAGAGTCAGTGTAATGTGTCTGAGTGGTGTATTCATGCTTCACTGCGTGGTATCTTAGTGAGCTTGCACTATAAAACCAGCTTAAGTCTGGGCTAGTACAAGCAGCCGCACATACACATACACACGCATGCACATTGTCATATGAGCGAAATATTCTTAAGTGCGATGTTAAACCCCATTTCACCTTACCTACACCTCAGCTACATTCTCTACATTTCTGCATACTGGATACACATTTGTGCTTTGTGTAAAACCTGTTGATTATCAGTATAAGACTGGGTATGGACGGGGATAGTAGAAGCACACACATGCAGTTGCTTAACGTTAAGTTGAGTAACCTTGAACACAAAGTTAAGCCTCATTTCACATCTCCACACCTTTGATCCCATTCTCTCTTACTATCGTAATATTAGATGCTTGTTGGCATTTTAGAAGATGCTATTTGATGAACATAGAGATTTGATTGTGACATCATGGGCAGAGTTAACAGTCACTGTTCAGTTTTACGTGATGATGGGGTCAGAACAAGCCATGAAATGGTGTACTCAAGAATAAAAAGAAGATGTAACCAGAAAAACCTCTATGTTCATGGTAATATTCTCTTCATCGAGGATATTTCAATGTCATTGCTCTCTGTCCAGGCTGAATAATATTCTAAAAGCAAGGTTATGGCTAGATTAATATTTAGTCTCTGAAATGAACATATTTTACAGAAAAAAACAGTTCCTAAATTATAATCATATAATATAATGAAAAGGCGTCCAGAGGCTTTCTTCATTTTCAGAAACTGTGGAAATCTAGACTTGCCACATATTCTAGACTTGCATTGGCTTTCTTGGATAAATTTCTTTCAGGGCCTGTATGGCAGATTAGGTTATTGCAAGTCAACATCATATTCATAATTTAGGTGCATGTCAAACCTTCACACATTATCAAGCTTGTTGAGGACCGGTCAGAACATCTTTCCTGGATATTTGTTGTACTTTCAGTCATGATGGACCTTGGTGCAGTGAAGTGATTTCTGGTATGTTTGTTTCAGAATCAAAGATGTCACGTTTCTTTCGTGCGGGTTCCGAATCGGAATCCGAGAGTGAGTCGAGTGGGGAGGAGTTGCAGCCGCAGCGCCCTGCTGCTTCCAGGTTTGTGTTCTGTTGCTGTACCTTAATTAATCAGCAGTATTATAAGGGTAATGCTATTTTTGAGGGCATTATCATTTGCAGAAGCCCGCTGTCTTCCATTAACTGCCTGACGAAGGAGGGCAGTTGAAAAAGACCGAGGGTTTCTGCAAATGATAATGCCCTCAAAAATAGCATTGCCGTTATTATTGCTAAATACATGGAATTTGTGTTGAAAAGAAAAGGGAAACAATGAAGGAATTTGACTGTGAGTTTACTCAAAACCAACCTCTGACGGGTTGACTGACCGAATGCAATTACGTCATCGAACAATTCAAGTGACGTCAACAGAAAGTGACGATATTCGACCTTGGCCTTTGACAAGACCATAGCCTGCAACATGTCAAACTATGTCAGTATTCGGTCTTGGTCCAACAACAACATTAATAGTGCAATTGTTAAGGTTAGCACCAGCAATAAAGCCAATATTACCGCTACTTAAAGCGGGAATTCGGGTTGGTTTGACTTGTTTGACCCAGAATATCTGCCAGTCCAAAGCAAATGTTGAATGAACCGATGCTCCCACTATGACGTCACTTGACAACAGAAGTGATGGTGGCCGTCGTTAAGGTTGAGCGGTCCAATATCATTTGCAGCGGCCCGCAAATTTCTGATAATAGGAGGGCCGTTTCATGATAATTCCATGTGTTTTAGCTATAAGATGTGTCAACATAGTATCTCAACAGACCATTCCTAATTAGTGCAGGAGTGATTGATAGAATAATCATTCAATCGACCGGTGAAGATTCAGGTTAGAATTGATGTTTAGAAACCCATGCTTGTCGTAAGAGGTGACTATCAGGATTTTTAGTAGTCAGGCTTGCTGACTTGGTTGACACGTGTCATCATATCCCAGTTGCGTAGATCGATGCTCATGTTGTTGATCACTTGATTGTCTGGTCCAGACTCGATTATTTACAGACCACTGTCATATAGCTGGAATGTTGCTGAGTGCGGCATAGAACTAAACTCACTGCTACTACTATTTCACAGTACATCATGACATAATATTTGACATTTTTGGAAAGAACATTTTTTGATATGCTTTCACACTGAAGTTTGTGCATGCCATCTGGAATGGGATTGTGTAGTGATGCAGGTATGTTTGTGTTGCAGGGCTGTGTTTCAGATGAGTGATGATGAAGAGGACACAAAGAGAGTTGTTCGCAGTGAGAAGGACAAGAGGTAAGTGAGGGTCACAACCAGCGGTCGAAATAATTGCCGGCCAGGAGTCCTAGCGCCAGTTATTGTATCGGGCCGGCAGGTTCAAATATTTGCAGGCCCTTGTGGCCTTCAGTAAATTATCAGTCGACAAATTATTGTCAACTGGAATCTTTCCCATATTTGTTTTCTCTATTAACGTTCGGAAATCATCCATGAATATTGATCCATCATGTTCCGATAACCTACAGTTTCACTTCCTGGTATTTCAGCGCTTTGCGCATAGGAATGTCAATACTAGTCTTTAACAAATAAATACTTCTCCCTGTGCCATAGCCTTGCTAATTGATTTTGTAGAAACAGTGTAGTCTATTTTGTTTTTATTGGTTTGACTTTAAAGAAATGGGCCTGCAGATTTTATTCAGGGCCTGTAGATTTTAAAGCCCCCAGGCGACAGCAGGCCCTCATGGCCAACTGGCAAATTAAAGCATTGCAAACACTGGTCACAACACAAGTATTATGGTGGTTTTGGTTACACACATTTGTCAGCTACTGCGATTAGTGTCACACACATTTGTCAGCTACTGTTGTTAGTGTCACACACATTTGTCAGTTACTGTTGTTAGGGTCATACACATTTGTTAGCTACTGTTGTTAGGGTCATACACATTTGTCAGCTACTGTTGTTAGTGTCACACATATTTGTCAGCTACTGTTCGTGTCACACACATTTGTCAGCTACTGTTGTTAGGGTCATACACATTTGTCAGCTACTGTTAGTGTCACACATATATGTCAGCTACTGTTCGTGTCACACACATTTGTCAGCTACTGTTGTTAGTGTCACACACATTTGTCAGCTACTGTTGTTAGTGTCACACACATTTGTCACACACATTTGTCAGCTACTGTTAGTGTCACACACATTTGTCAGCTACTGTTGTTAGTGTCACACACATTTGTCAGCTACTGTTGTTAGTGTCACACACATTTGTCAGCTACTGTTGTTAGTGTCACACACATTTGTCAGCTACTGTTAGTGTCACACACATTTGTCAGCTACTGTTAGTGTCACACACATTTGTCAGCTACTGTTGTTAGTGTCACACACATTTGTCAGCTACTGTTGTTAGTGTCACACACATTTGTCAGCTCCTGTTGTTAGTGTCACACACATTTGTCAGCTACTGTTGTTAGTGTCTCACACATTTGTCAGCTACTGTTGTTAGTGTCACACACATTTGTCAGCTACTGTTGTTAGTGTCACACACATTTGTCAGCTCCTATTTGTCAGCTACATTTGTCTACACATTTGTTAGTGTCACACACATTTGTCAGCTACTGTTGTTAGTGTCACACACATTTGTCAGCTGCTGTCGTTAGTGTCACACACATTTCTCAGCTACTGTTAGGGTCGCACATATTTGTCAGCTACTGCGGTTTGTCTCACACACATTTGTCAGCTCCTGTTGTTAGTGTCACACACATTTGTCAGCTACTGTTTTTATGGTCCGGCACTTGTCAGTGTTACATACTGTTGTTAGGTTCAGTTGTGTCTGTAAGTATAGCTTCTGTTGCTATGACAGACCACACCGAAGGTGTTGATGAGGTTTTACTTCTGTTTCCAGGTTTGAGGAGATCAACAATGTCATCAAACAGCTGAAGAACCACAAGAAAATCAAGGACATGTCAAATGTCCTCACAGGTTGGTTACTCAGGGTTATTAGCTCAGTAGGGGTGGTGGGGAAGCATAGTGGTAAAAACGTTTGCTCGTCATGCCGAAGACCCTGGTTCGATTGCCCAAATGGGCCCAATGTGTGAAACCCATTTTGGTGCCTCTACCACGGTATTGCTGGAGTGAGTGAGTTACTTATTTCACCGTTTTTAGCAATATTCCAGCACTATCATGGCGGGGGACACCACAAATGCGCTAATGGGGAAATGATGAACAAACTGTTTAACCACAAGGCTATGAAACCGGAGCACACCCCAAATGGCCTTCACACATTGTGCCCATGTGGGGAATCGAACCTGGGTCTTCAGCGTGACGAGTGAACGCTTTAACCACTAGGCTACCCCACCGCCCCACTGGAATATTGCTTAAAGTGGCATAAATCTAAAGAACTCCCTCACTATTAGTTCAGTTGGTTGTTCACTACTCCAGTTCAGCATCTACAAAGCCATTATGGCTTCCATCGACATATGTTGATATAGATTCGATTTTTCACACAATGGTACCTTTGAGAAAACGTGTATAAGAAATATGGACTAAAGATTAACTTTGGCTGGATCTGTAGACAGACCACTTGTCAAGTATACGTAGAGCCTATATCATCACATGATGTAGTGTGTCACATGCAAGCGTGCACATCCATGAAATGCAGCTTGGTGGGCTGTGACATGCATGTTTGCTAACATGGACCCCTGTGTGAATGGTGTTGTGGTGTTTCAGACTTCGAGGGCCTGGGCAAGGCGTACGAGAAGGCCAGGAAGGTGGTGGACAAGGAGGGAATCCCACGATTCTATATCCGCTGCCTGGTGGAGCTGGAGGACTTTGTGAATGAGGTCAGTGTAGATGCAGGTGGAAGGTCAGGCATTAATACATACCCTTGACTTGTCAAGACTGACAATACCATTGATCAGACCAGTCAAAGGTCATGTTTTCCTCCTGTGCTGATACATACCCATTAAAGGTCAAGGGTGCCCATTAGGGGTTAACACGTTGACTGCCACCAAGAGTATACTCATAGTATCAGTGGTATTTTAAAACAAGTTTCACATGTTGGCAAACAGGCACCTGAAGCAATTGTCTCCTGGCGGTAAGAACGCCAGAACGGTCTTGTGCTTGTTGCCAAAATGTCAAACTTGTTTTAAAAAGATAACTGATGTACTACTGATGACAAAAGTTGACCAGAATTGATACTACTACGAGTATACTCGTGATAGGCAGCCAACGTGTTAAAGTTGCCCTATTATATTATTTTTATGTTGTAACTGCGGTAGAGTATAGAAGCAAGTGTTCAGGCTGCCCTACAGTAGAGAATGGAAGCAAGTGTTCAGGTTGCCCTACAGTAGAGAATGGAAGCAAGTGTTCAGGTTGCCCTACAGTAGAGAATGGAAGCAAGTATTTAGGTTGCCCTACAGTAGAGAATAGAAGCAAGTATTCAGGTTGCCCTACAGTAGAGAATGGAAGCAAGTATTCAGGTTGCCCCTACAGTAGAGAGAATGGAAGCAAGTATTTCAGGCTGTGCCCTACAGTAGAGTATAGAAGCAAGTATTCAGGTTGCCCTACAGTAGAGAATGGAAGCAAGTATTCAGGTTGCCCTACAGTAGAGAATGGAAGCAAGTATTTATGTTGCCCTACAGTAGAGTATAGAAGCAAGTATTCAGGTTGCCCTACAGTAGAGAATGGAAGCAAGTATTCAGGTTGCCCTACAGTAGAGAATAGAAGCAAGTATTTAGGTTGCCCTACAGTAGAGAATAGAAGCAAGTATTCAGGTTGCCCTACAGTAGAGAATGGAAGCAAGTATTCAGGTTGCCCTACAGTAGAAAATGGAAGCAAGTATTCAGGTTGCCCTACAGTAGAGAATTGAAGCAAGTATTCAGGTTGCCCTACATCAGGTTGCCCTACAGTAGAGAATGGAAGCAAGTATTCAGGTTGCCCTACAGTAGAGAATGGAAGCAAGTATTCAGGTTGCCCTACAGTAGAGAATGGAAGCAAGTATTCAGGTTGCCCTACAGTAGAGAATAGAAGCAAGTATTCAGGTTGCCCTACAGTAGAGTATAGAAGCAAGTATTCAGGTTGCCCTACAGTAGAGAATAGAAGCAAGTATTCAGGTTGCCCTACAGTAGAGAATGGAAGCAAGTATTCAGGTTGCCCTACAGTAGAGAATAGAAGCAAGAATTTCAGGTTGCCCTACAGTAGAGAATAGAAGCAAGTATTCAGGTTGCCCTACAGTAGAGAATGGAAGCAAGTATTCAGGCTGCCCTACAGTAGAGAATGGAAGCAAGTATTCAGATTGCCCTACAGTAGAGAATGGAAGCAAGTATTCAGGTTGCCCTACATCAGGTTGCCCTACAGTAGAGAATGGAAGCAAGTATTCAGGTTGCCCTACAGTAGAGAATGGAAGCAAGTATTCAGGTTGCCCTACAGTAGAGAATGGAAGCAAGTATTCAGGTTGCCCTACAGTAGAGAATGGAAGCAAGTATTCAGGTTGCCCCATGTTTGCTGCAGTGCTGGGAAGACAAGGACTGGAGGAAACAGATCAGCAAGAGCAACGCCCGGGGGCTGACCACACTCCGACAGAAGCTGAAGAAGTACCTGCGTGACTTCACAGACGAGGTGACCAAGTATCGGGAAAACCCAGATGCCGGGGATGACGAAGAAGTTGCCGCCCCACCAAAGGAAATAGAATCTGATGAAGATGAGGACGAGGATGATGAGGAGATATCCAGCATCCCTCGGCGACCAGTCAAGAAGGTACGTTTTAGGTCATCTGGTTATCGCCATTTCTAGGTGACAGATAAATGTGTATCATCATACATTGTTCACTCATGGCATGGACTGTTGCTGTTTATATTACTCAATTGTCTCATAGTGACGTCTAAACTGGAGACCCGTGAAGATCCGGGTAGAATAGGTCTTCAGCAACCCATTCTTGTCATAAAAGGCGACTATGCTTGTCGTAAAAGGCGACTAACGGGATCGGGTGGTCAGGCTCGCTGACTTAGTTGACACATGTGATCGGTTCCCAATTGCGCAGATCGATGCTCATGCTGTTGATCACTGGATTGTCTGGTCCAGACTCGATTATATACAGACCGCCGCCATATAGCTGGAATATTGCTGAGTGCAGCGTAAAACTAAACTCACTCACTCACTCACTCACTCACTCTAAATTGGAATATTTACGGGCTTGTGTCTAACAGTGACCTCATGACATGGATCTTGTAAAATCTTTCAATTCTTGTATAATATTGCTGAGTGCAGTTTTAAACAACAAACCAACCAACCAATCTCATTACGTTATCCAGACTGTTATTTACAGGCTTGTATCATATTGCTAGAATATTTTTGTTTCTATGCTACATAAAATATCATGTAGCTTCATCTGAATGTGTTGAATGTTGGAACATCTGTTGTAGATGCTTGATGACGATGACATGGACAGTGACGACAGTGATTCCTGGGACAGTTCAACGACTGAGTCGGAGTCTGACTCTGGGGACGAGAAACTGGACACCATGAAACTCACAGCAGAGTACTTCTTGAAAAAGTAAGCAGTGCATGCGTACCCACTTACTGTGGCGGCGCTTTGTTAACTGGTGGTTCAACACATTCTGCTGTCTTTGTGGCTCTTCAAGGCATGATGTGTCTTCGAGTCCCAATTGTGTAGATTGATGCTCATGATGTCAGTCACTGGATTGTCTGGTCCAGACTCGGTCCTTGCCATATAGCTGGAATATTGCAAAGTGAGGCATTAAACAACAGACAAACAAACTTGTAGGCATGATAATCTTGTGGGTTTTATGATATTTGTGATTTGTTGAGAGATGGACACTTCAACATTCAGTTTCCTGTTTAGTTACCAGAGTTGATATACTTAGTTGATGGAGAGGGACAGTAGGGTAGCCTAGTGGTTTCAGCTTTTCATGGCCACACCAAAGACTTGGGTTCGATTCCACACATTTCTGGTGTCTGATATTGCTGGAATATTGCTAAAAGCGGCGTAAAATCACACTCACTCACTCAGTGATGGAGATCTATTCTTTCGACACGCTTGTTGAGATCCAGATTATTATTGACCTTCAAGAACCCATGCTCATCATATGAGGCGACTGTTTCGTGGTGTCAGGCTCGCTGATTTTGGTTGTGCATATGGTTGTGTCATTGTATCCCAAAGGCAAAGATTGATGCTGATTGTGTCAGTTGTCTAGGTCCAGACTTGATCATTAATAAATAGAAACCAAGAAAACACTTGTCCACAGATGAAATATTCTACTTCTCGGACATTCCTAACACTTGGGGTGGTTGGGTAGCCTAGTAGTTATAGCGTTCGTTCGTCATGCCGAAGACCTGGGTTCGATTCCCCACATTGGTACAATGTGTGAAGCCCATTTCTGGTGTTCCCCGCTGTGATATTGCCTAAATATTGCTAAAAGCGGTGTAAAACCAAATTCACTCACTCACTCACTCACTCTTGCATAGTGTTTCTGCACCCTATTGATTATGGGGCTTGAGGGGACGTGAACTTAATCTTGCATAGTGAAGACCCGGATTCTGCACCTCTATTGATATATTGGGCTTGAGGGGGATCGATGCTCATGCTATTGATAACTGGATTGTCTGGGAAGCCATTTAGCTGGAATGTTGCTTAAAGCATTAGCTCACCACTTTATGCCAAAAGACCCGGGTTTGAATCCCACAAGGGACAATGTCAAGCTCACTACCTCATCCACCCGCTCCACTCCCCTCAGTTAACATGAAGTGGGTGAGCATTTGTTTTCCCTTGTAATTTAAGATTGCTTTTGCAGCGAATGACATAATGATTGACCTAATTTTCAGGACAACGGAAGACGAGCGCCAGAAGCGAGAAGAGAGGAAACGAGAGAGAAAGAAGGAGAAAGAGGCAAAGAAAAAGACAAAAGATGAAGAAGATGGAGAATGGCAGGAAGTTGTAGGAGGAGTGCCGCTCATGACAGTACGTAGATCTTCATGTTTTTGAGTATTCCTCGTGTCAAAATGTAGAATGTGTATTGTGTGTCACTCATGACAACACATAGGTCTTCATGTCTGTTGAGTATTCCTGTGACAGCAACTAAATGTATGTTGAGTGTCATTCATTACAAGAGGTAGAAATATCTGACAAATTTTTCCCCTCGATGCCTCTGCCAAAATAAGTTGTGTCCCCTTGGCTTGGGTCGATTGTCTCGTTTGACTTGATGCTTGTTCTAGGTTGGCTTGGGGTGATTGGGTAGCAAAGTGGTAAAGCATTTGCAAGTCAATTGCCCACATGGGTACTGTCTGCATGGGCGGATCCAGGATTTTTTTTTTTTCTTTTGGGGGTTGTTTCAGGGGTTTCGAACCCCTAATTCGAACCCCCTGAACCCCCCATTGGTTCCGCCAACGCAAACAAAATAATTTTCAATGTGTCCCCTGCTGTGATAGTGTTGGAATATTGCTAAGAGCGGCGTAAAACTTAACTTGCTCACTCACTAGGTTGACCACCCTCTTGGTCAAGTGGATCGAGTGTTGGTCTTGTCTTGTTAACCTGCTTGTCGCAAGAGGCGACTAACAGCATCAGGTGGTCACACATGTCATCGTCTCCCAATTGCGTAGCATGATGCTCATGCTGTTGATCCATGGATTGTCTGGTTCAGACTCCATTATTTACAGACTGCCATCATAAAGCTGGAATATTGCTGAGTGCGGCGTAAAACTAAACCTCTCACTCACACTCAAAGCAGCCATGCAGCCATGCACAGATCCTAAACATTATGTTAAACACTGCCTGCCCCTACCACCATATCTCAGTTTGTTGTTTCACATAGAAAAACATCTTGAGAACAGCTGACTCACTGATGTAAGTATCAAAGCGGCATCAAATCTAACTCACTCATTCTTTTGCAGGAGAAGCCCAAAATGTTCCGAAAGGATGAGGAAATTACCCACGAGGCCGTGCTGAAGAAGCAGACCGAGATCTTGTCAGCTCGTGGCAAGAAGAGCACCGACCGCTCGGAGCAGATCGAGTTGTTCAAGGAGCTGCTGACGGTGTCTGATTCGGCCAATCTCGGACCTGGCATCGCTCTCAAGATCATGTTCAATATTGTGTCAGCCATCTTTGACTACAACCCTAACATTGCCACCTGCATGAGGGCTGAGGTGTGGGAAAGGTGAGCGATGTGTTGCTTCATGCTTTATGTTGTGTTCACTATGCTCTACAGCATTGTACCCGTGAAGATACAGTTAGAATTGATCTTCAGTAACCCATGCTTGTTGTAAGAGGCGACTAACGTGATCGGGTGGTCAGGCTAGCTGACTTGGTTGACATATATCATCGTATCCCAATTGCGCATGTCGATGCTCATGCTGTTGATCACTGGATTGTCTGGAGCAGACTCGATTATTTACAGACCGCTGCCATATAGCTGGAATATTGCTGAGTGCGGCATAAAACTAAACTCACTCTCTCACTCTACAGCATAGGAGGGCGGTGGGGTAGCCTAGTGGTTTAAGCATTCGCTCGTCATGCCGAATACCAGGGTTCGATTCCCCACATGGGTACAATGTGTGAAGCTCATTTCTGGTGCCCCCTGCTTTGATATTGCTGGAATATTGCTAGAGTGGGTAAAACAGAACTCACTCACAGGGATTGGGATAGAAAACTTTGACAATGGGCCATTATTTTTCCTTATCCTGACTCATGCTTATTATGCTTGTCTCCTTCCTCTTGCGAATGATAGTGGAACACTTGAAATCCCTTGAAGTTCCCTTTAAAAAAGGCGGACGTAAAATCACTCACCCAAGAGTAGCGTCCCTTTCCTCCCTTTGGCACCCAAATGGCCACACTATCATTCGTAAGAGGAAGGCGACAAGCATAATTAGCATGAGTCAGGATAAGTATTAATATCAATTTTTAGTCAGAAAATTACATTTCAGGATTATTAGCCATTTTCTGAATTAGAATGGGCCACTGCCCTTGTATCAATAGAAAACTTCAAAACTTTAATGGGCCATTTTTCATTCTAAAGTGCAAAATGGCCCATGACCCCTGCCTTTCCCAATCCCTGCACTCACTCTACAGCATTGGTCAAGTCTCGATTTAAACATTAAGAAGTTGTATCAGTGCAACCTGAAGCCTTTACTGAAACCTTTACTGTGCATGTTGCAGCTGCCTGGAAAACCTGCAGATCCTGCTGAACATGCTAAAGGAGAACGATGAGATCGTCATCGGCGAGAACATCCCAGACGACACACAGATATTTGATGTAAGTATCTGTAACAGATCTGCTTAGTTATTATTAGGGATGATCTCGACCTGATTTCAGTACCAAGTTGCTTTCAGAAGGAAAGAAGCCTCGTCTTTTGTGGAGTTTGATGGTGTTTTCTTTGTTGCCAGAAAGCTCCGTACCGCGATCCGAGGCTGTATCCTCACCATGGTGGAACGGATGGATGAAGAGTTCACTAAGATGCTGCAGGCCTGTGATGCCCACAGTACAGAGTATGTCGACAGGTGGGTACAGTGTTCACTCTAGACAGCATGGAGACATTACAGAGTGTGTAGACAGGTGGGTACAGTGTTCGGTCTAGACAGGATGGAGACAGAGTACAGTATGTCGACAGGTGGGTACAGTGTTCGGTCTAGACAGGATGGAGACAGAGTACAGTATGTAGACAGGATGGAGACAGAGTACAGTATGTCGACAGGTGGGTACAGTGTTCAGTCTAGACAGGATGGAGACAGAGTACAGTATGTAGACAGGATGGAGACAGAGTACAGTATGTAGACAGGTGGGTACAGTGTTCGGTCTAGACAGGATGGAGACAGTACAGTATGTAGACAGGATGGAGACAGAGGACAGGATGGAGACAGAGTACAGTATGTCAACAGGTGGGTACAGTGTTTGGTCTAGACAGGATGGAGACAGAGTACAGTATGTAGACAGGTGGAGACAGATACAGTAGACAGGTGGGTACATGGAGGATGGAGACAGTACAGTATGTCGACAGGTGGGTACAGTGTTTGGTCTAGACAGGATGGAGACAGTACAGTATGTAGACAGGTGGGTACAGTGTTTGGTCTAGACAGGATGGAGACAGTACAGTATGTAGACAGGTGGGTACAGTGTTTGGTCTAGACAGGATGGAGACAGTACAGTATGTAGACAGGTGGGTACAGTGTTTGGTCTAGACAGGATGGAGACAGTACAGTATGTAGGACAGGTGGGTACAGTGTTTGGTCTAGACAGGATGGAGACAGTACAGTATGTAGACAGGTGGGTACAGTGTTTGGTCTAGACAGGATGGAGACAGAGTACAGTATGTCGACAGGTGGGTACAGTGTTTGGTCTAGACAGGATGGAGACAGTACAGTATGTAGACGGGTGGGTGCAGTGTTCAGTCTAGACAGGATGGAGACAGAGTACAGTATGTCGACAGGTGGGTACAGTGTTTGGTCTAGACAGGATGGAGACAGTACAGTATGTAGACAGGTGGGTGCAGTGTTCAGTCTAGACAGGATGGAGACAGAGTACAGTATGTCGACAGGTGGGTACAGTGTTTGGTCTAGACAGGATGGAGACAGTACAGTATGTCGACAGGTGGGTACAGTGTTCAGTCTAGACAGGATGGAGACAGCACAGTATGTAGACAGGTGGGTACAGTGTTTGGTCTAGACAGGATGGAGACAGAGTACAGTATGTAGACAGGTGGGTACAGTGTTCAGTCTAGACAGGCTCGAGACAGAGTACAGAATGTAGAAGGGTGGGTGCAGTGTCCAGTCTAGACAGGATGGAGACAGAACAGTATGTCGACAGGTGGGTACAGTGTTCAGTCTAGACAGGATGGAGACAGTACAGTATGTAGACAGGTTGGTACAGTGTTCAGTCTAGACAGGCTCGAGACAGAGTACAGAATGTAGAAGGGTGGGTGCAGTGTCCAGTCTAGACAGGATGGAGACAGAACAGTATGTCGACAGGTGGGTACAGTGTTCAGTCTAGACAGGATGGAGACAGTACAGTATGTAGACAGGTGGGTACAGTGTTTGGTCTAGACAGGATGGAGACAGAACAGTATCGCTTACAGGTCTGACAGATTAGAGACTTGGTGACTTTCCACCATTCCTATGGAATGTGGATCAATGATCAGAGTATCTCTTGTCTGTCTGGCCAAATTCAGAATTTTTCCTTATCCTGACTCATGCTCTTTTGCTTGTCTTCTTCTTCTTGCGAACATAGTGGAACACTTGTATCTCCTTATTTGAAGCTCCCTTCAACATAAAATCACTAATTGGTACTCACCACGAGTTGCTCCCCTTTGTTTCCCCTGGCGGGAAAGGTGTCGCCACCCTCTGGCCATGTGCTCCACTCTCTCCTTCTTCGCCCAGTGAGCAGGATGTGAGAGCGCCTCGTGTCTCCTTACACACCATATCCTTTGATATTTTCTTAGTTTTTACCTCTCTTAGGTTACTATAGAGGTATAGCTAGTATCCTTTACTAATTTGTATTGATTATTTATCGTATTTCTACTGTTTATTCACCTGTATTCGTGATTGTTCAGCTAGCTTTACGTTGATGAAAATCTGTACTATTTGTAGATTACGTTTTTCCGCCTCTGATCCGCATGTAATATGCCCTAGTTGTGCTACGCCGTGTGCGTTTGATTCACGTTGCAGTTACTGCATTAATCTATCTCATTCTGCATTTAATAAATATCATCTTAAGACGTGCTGCAGATAGGTCACGCAAACAAGGGCAAAACATGGCAGATAGTCCAGATATTCCATCCAGTCAGCTGCTAGCGATCGACCCTCTCCCGTCTGGTGTTCTGCTAGAGACCCCTGCGGTAGAGGAACGTGGGACGCAGTCCGTTACCTCGAAGAAACGACCGGCCTCCCCAGACATCCCGTCATCGCAGACCAAGTCTAAGAGGGCCTCAACGTCTTCTCAACGCAGACTTAGGACCCCCAGGGCAGCGCAGACTTCCAAAGGGAAATCTACGAAGACAGCGAGAACTTTCTCAGCCGAGATCGTTCCAGCAGCAGAATTGGGCCTCTACGATGATCAGCCGATAATCATCCCCGACTTACGGCACAAGAAGCGACCGGTGTCAGCGACTGTGACTTCTGCAGAGATCACCATGCAGCCTGATGCCTCTACACTGACGTCGGACGTTATTGATGTGGACCCCATCGCAGAGAAGACGCCGACGACTTCGTCACAGATCATCCCAGAAGACATGATGCGGCAAATTATGAACATCATGGAGGACCACTATAAACTGCAGAAGCAGGGTCCGAGCCTTCGCGAAGGCTCCAACGTAGACAGCACCCCAGAGGCACCCCCCGTCAACGTAGCAGCCAAGACGATGTCACCTTCGCGAAGGAAGTCCCGGACCACCTTGACGAAGGACCTAGATGTACAGCCTTCGCGAAGGCGGGACAGATCATCACCATCTTCGATTTCATCCCTAGATATGGACTCGGACCATCAGACGTCACAGAGGCCTTCGCGAAGGTCATATCATCGATCCCCCGGACCGGACGCAAATGAAGCTTCGCGAAGGCATTCGCGAAGGACATATGATTCCAGATCTTCATCATCTAGAAGGACATCGAGGGACTATAGAAGAGCTTCGCGAAGCTATCAACATTCGCCTCACAAGTCTCCGAGAAAATCATCCCATAGACGATCTCCACTTCGTTCATCACCAGGTCGATCACCCGTCAGATCTCCACATAGAGCGGCGCACAAGTCAACTAGATCGCCACAAGCCTCATCGGACATACAGACAGCTACACGCAGTCCCGAAGAGCATCTACAATTCGTTAATGATGATGGTATTGAGGATGATGGAGGAATCTTTTCTCTCCGATGCAGAGATACGGTATTGGATGGTCAATAACCTAGATCTCTCATCACAATCTAAAAGTGGCAATACAGGCGCAGACGATTTGATGAAGGAAGACGATCCAGATGCGATCACTCTACCCCGATTGATCCGATCGGCGGCAGTGCCACAGAATCTAGATGCAGCTTTCCAGAAAGCTACGAAAGTTCAGACACCACATCTACCCAACTTTCATGCCAAGAAGTTCTCCGCGATAACATGGACTCTTTCTACAAAGCCCAGGACATCGATGAGAACTATAAGATCATCAGCGATGTCAAGAACAAGATTTACAAGATGGATGATCGCAAGTTGGCTCATATAGAAACCATGACGAGACGATGTTCTTTGGGTTAAATAGATCTAGGGACGATCAATGAGACTCTTATCACTAGATTCCGGGATTCCCACGACGGAAGATGATAGAATGATTTATTCTGCCTTACTTATGCAAAAGAAAGATCAGCAGTTTTAACGGATCATCTTACATCTGTTTCAGCAGCATTCGACCTTAGCTCGTCGTCAAGGCCTCCTCGCTTCCTGCAATTGGGGAGAACTTTACAGCCCCACTTTATACAGCCCGTGGTCGACAACATCCATCTTTGACGGAGAAATCGACAAAGTCGCCAAGGAAGTCTCTAAGGATTCCAGGGAAGTCCTTATGATTAAATCGATGGACACACTAGCCAGCGTCATTCGTCAGACTTCACAAAGATACTCAGGCAGATCTAAGTTCACGGGCCTACAAAGAGCAAGAGACAGGAAGATAGCCAGCTCTAGAGGTAAAGATTCTTTTCGTTGGCCATATGGCAACTATAGAGGAGGATCAGGAAGAGGCAGGACACCCAGAGGTTCCCGCAACTATAGACGCTGAAACACAGGTTCGGAACGACTGGAGTCTTCCACCCCCAGCCGTTCCAGTACAGCCAGCACAAGTGGGTGGACGCCTCCAACTGGGGAACTTGCAAGACCCTTACGTCTCCAACATTCTTCAACACGGATTTCGTATCCCACTACAGGCCAAGCCTCCGCTGACAATCAAACCCCTCAAGTTCGATTTACAAGCGCAACAACTACCAAAGATAAGAGAGGCTGTTTCATCACTCCTATCCAAACAGGCCATAGAAGTAATAGATCAAGCAAACGTCGAACCAGGTTTCTACTCCCCAGTTTTCCTAGTTCCCAAGAAAAACTCCGCGGAGAAATACAGACTCATCTACAACATGAGCTTTTTCAACAAGAATTATCTACGCTAAACCACCGGTTTAGCAAGATGATACATTTACCTCAGTTACGCCAGATGATTCGTCCTATGGACTACATGGGCAGCATAGATCTACAGGATGCCTACTTGCACATCCCCATTCATCCCGATTCCAGGAAATACCTACGGTTTACTCTAGAAGGGCTACATTACCAGTGGAAAGTAGTACTCCCATTGAATATCATCAGCCCCTGGCTATTCGAGGATAACGAAACCGATTATCATCTTTCTACATCGTCAAGGGCTCGCGGTGCGTTTTACCTCGACGACGGGATACAGGTAGATCAAGATCCACAGCATCTCAAACTACAGTTAAATTACATCATAAAGCTACTAACACAACTAGGATGGTTAGTAAACTTACATAAGTCGGACCTAGTACCATCGCAAGACCTGCAGTTCCTAGGTATTCGATTCATCACAAATGTCGCAACCGTATCGTTGTACCAGAAGACCGTTGGCTCAAGATACAACAGACCATTCCACCAGCTCTACTCTCTCCGTTACCACTTCGACAATGGCAGAGCCTACTAGGTCTTCACATCAGCCCAAGACATGACTGTCACAGGCAGATTACGATTCACAGCCCCTACAGGTCCTCATCAGCGCACATCTCAGCGATGTACAACCATTCAGTCTACCGAAACATCTCAGACCTCATTTACTATGGTGGACCAGAAATCGAATGTCTGCAGAAGGATTTGTTTAGCAGAGCAGGAATTCAAAACCCATCTATATGTAGATAGCGTCACTCCAAGGTTGGGGAGCTCATCTCACCAACCCTGCGATATCAGGATTATGGAATCAGCAAGAATGCAAACTCCATATAAACAGTCTAGAAATGAAAGCTGTAATCAGCGCCATTCTACATTGGAGCACATTTCTACAAAATCGCACCTAATGATCCATACAGACAATTAGACAGTGGCGTTCTACATAAACAAGCAAGGCTCAACGAGATGGCTGAGCGGTTTGAACCTAAGCTTTCAACTGTTCGATTTAATACAAGATCTAAATCTACATGTCAGAGCAGTTCACATTCCGGAGCCAGAAATATACTAGCAGACGGCTCTCTCTCGGCCTCATCTACCATCACCGACAGAGTGGATGATCAACAGGGAAATATTTGCACAGATAATCAAGCAATTAGGAGCGCCGCTAATAGACCTTTTCGCCACGCGATTCAACAATCAGCTACCGACATTCGTGTCACCAGTCCCAGACCCTCAAGCTTGGGCAACGGACGCTCTAAGTCTATCATGGGAAGGCCTCAATGCGCATCGCCAAGCGTTTCCGCCGCCAGCAATAATACCTCAAGTATTACAGAAAATCAGACAAACACAGAGCCTACAACTCACTTTGGTCGCGCCCTACTGGCCGGCCAGAACGTGGTTTCCCATACTAATTCAAGAAATCGGTCAACCAGCACTGGAGCTACCCAAGCGTGCAAACCTGTTAATTCATCCTCACACCAAACAAGAGCACGGAAACCCAGCAATGTTCCAACTACACGTATGGACTGTATACAAATGTGTTTAAACAAGAGAGGATATTCTGCCAGGGCGGCAAAAGCAGTCACGCTTGCCTTACGTTACTCAACTCGTAACTTGTACGACGACAAGTGGCACAGTTTCGAAAATTATGCAACAAAGAAAGGTTTTACAGCGAGAGAGGCGGCAGACTATTTGTGTTACCTGCGCCAAAACAAACATTTAAAAGGTTCAACGATATCAACATATCTTGCTGCACTTAGTTCTGTAATCACCATGAGAACGGGTGTCAAGTTGACAAGATCTCCAGAGTTACTGCCTTACTACGAGCATTCCGATTGGAGGACCAAAAGCGGAAGTTCCACGGCCCAGCTTGGGATCTGAATATAGTGTTACAACACCTCACGAGTGAGGTTTATGAACCTTTGGAATCGACAACTTTTGAATTTCTCTCACAGAAAACACTTTTTCTGCTATCTCTAGCCACGGCAGCAAGAATGTCTGAAATTCCGCGCTCTAGATTACGAGAGGATACAGTTTGATGACAATCATAACACTGGCGCACCTCGGACTAAGATGGGATTTCATCGCTAAAATCAACTGCCAGGTCAACCAGACAGGTTATTTCACATCCGGCGCTATCCTCTATTCTCGGATCACAAGATACACAAGACTTATCACTGTGTCCAGTAAGAGCTCAAAGTTTATTCTGACGATCCAAAACAAGGAGAAGATTTCTCAAGCGTTTATTCATCCCCTTATCGCCTACAAATCAAACAGAAGTGTCGCCGCGGACCACAATATCTATTTGGATAAGGACTGTCATTCTCCGTGCCTACAAGGCAGCAGGCTTGGACCCACCAACAGCATCAAATCCACATGAGATCAGGGCATTGGCCTCCACCCTCGCCCTTCACGGCAACTGTTCCTTGAACACGCGATTATGCAAGGATGCTATTGGAAATCTAACATGGTATTTGCTAATCACTACCTGAGAGACATCACTACAGAAGATGTCTCTGGCATTCACCATTTCGGACCACTGGTCCTCGCTCAGCAACTGACAGTTCCTCGTAGGCGTTAAATATTACCCTCACAAGATTAATATGTATTATATACATACTTATCTAGCTTATAACTCTACGGAGTTTTAGGGCTATGTATATATGTTCAGCTTAAGTTATTCAGCCTTAAGCTTATACTATGATATGTTCAGTTTCAGTGCCTCTATCAGAGTCACTTATATATATATATATATTATATGTATTGTTCAATATATTAATAATGTAATTCCCCTTTAATGGCATTATGTAACCTATGGTTTTTTAATACAGCAAACATCCTAAGTCTAAGCCTTCATGAAGTTCCCGTAGGGGATATTACAGTATATCTATACAAAATCACTAATTATAAATCCAAAGTATTCTGTTACTCCCACCTCCGTGTCCGTAGGATGCTACAAGCAAAAGAGCATGAGTCAGGATAAGGAAAAATATGTAATTTTTAGAGTAAAATTGATATTTTATACTTATCCTGACTCATGAGGTTAGCCCTCCCATCCTCCCCACATAACACTTTGGATTTCCCTGTAAGTTCAAGTGTTGGGCTCGCAAAATCAGGAGAGAGTGGAGCACATGGCCAGAGGGTGGCGACACCTTTCCCGCCAGGGGAAACAAAGGGCTGCAACTCGTGGTGAGTACCAATTAGTGATTTTATTTTGAAGGGAGCTTCAAATAAGGAGATACAAGTGTTCCACTATGTTCGCAAGAAGAAGAAGACAAGCAAAAGAGCATGAGTCAGGATAAGTATAAAATATCAATTTTACTCTAAAAATTACATTATTTACAGCAGCAATAATTTCTCATCAGTATTGCAGAGCGAGGTATGTGGCCAGTACTGTCTGATCACATGGAGATCTTGATGTGTGTCAGATATTTACAGCAGCAATAATTTTGCTGAAGTACTTATTACTGATTGAGTTACGTGTCTGATCGCATGGAGGTGTTGGGATGATGGTGTACGCTGTGTGTGTTGATGTTGTGCGCTCTGTGTGGAGATGTTGATGATGTACGGTGTGTGGTCTGGTGTTGACAGGTTGAAGGATGAGTCACGTGTGGCCGACCTCACCAAGCAGCTGGAGAAGTACCTCGAGTCTCGCGCCACCACTGACGAGATGTGTCGGGTGTACCTGCGTCGTATCGAACAGACCTACTACAAAGTATGTTGAACATCATCACAGAAATACCACTTGTCGCACACACCACATACAGATATAAAGTTACTGTCTGTAAATACAACACCCGTGAAGGTCTGGGTTAGAATGAACCTTCAGTAACCCATGCTTGTCGTAAGAGGCGACTAACGGGTTCGGGTGGTCAGGCTCGCTGGCTTGGTTGACACATGTCATCGTATCCCAATTGCGCAGATCGATGCTCATGCTGTTGATCACTGGATTGTCTGGTCCAGACTTGATTATTTACAGACCGCTGCCTTATAGCTGGAATATTGCTGAGTGCGGAGTAAAACTAAACACACTCACTCACTGTAAATACAACACTGCCTTTGTATCAAGCTATCTGTCCCATGACCATTATGAACTACTTTTGAATGTAAGCTCTCATGGTGCCACCAGCTGCCATGCAGAGTTGTGTCCCCTTGACATGTCAGAAAATTGATTGTAGTTTCTTGTCCCAAGTTATCATGTTTCTCAGTCTCTTCTCTCGCGACTCACTCACTCACTCACTCACTCACTCAACACTCACTCACTCACTCACTCACTCACTCTACTTTGTTGATACAGGACCAGTGTTTCCATGGTAATGTTACAAACAAGTCTGTGTGTTGTTCTACAGTTTGATTACAAAGCCATGGAGGGTGTGAAGCCAGATCCGGACGAGGAGACCCCCGAGCAGATGATGGACCGACTGTGCAAGTACATCTACGCCAAGGACAGCACCGACAGACTGCGCACCCGCTCCATGCTGTGCCACATCTACCACCACGCCCTGCATGACCGCTGGTACCAGGCTCGGGACCTCATGCTCATGTCTCACCTACAGGACACCATCCATCACTCCGATGTCCACACACAGGTCAGCCATCACACTCTTGTTCATCTCCATTGGGGTTCTGGGTTAAATTGAGTCTAGTCTGGACCAGACAATCCAGCGATCAACAACATGAGCACTGATCTATGCAATTGGGATACAATGACATATGTCAATCAAGTCCGCGAGCCTGTTAGTCACCTTTTATGACAAGCATGGGTTACTGAAGATCAATTCTAACCCAGATCTTCACGAGTCAAATTGATTCTGATCATTCTATGGTAGGAGCCAGTTGACCATATGAATTCATGTCATCCTGTGCAGACATTTGTAGATCGGAGCCCCCATTCACTGATTTTGCTTGGCTTGATTATTTACAGGCTGCCTTCATGTAGCTTCAATACTGCTGAGCATGGCAACAAAAAGACAAATAAAACCTGAACGTCATCAAATTTTGTATACTACTTGAAATTCTGTCTACAAGATACATACTAAAAGGGAATTCTGAACGTATGTAATTTCATCTGCAGTAGATGCACAGGGTTGTCGATCATTGATCTTGATGATGATGCTTGTCAACGTCTATGATGCAAGTTTTGAGTCACTGATGATGATGATGATGATGATTTCAGATCCTGTACAATCGCACCCTTGTGCAGCTTGGTCTGTGTGGGTTCCGGCGAGGATTCATCCGAGATGCTCACAATGCACTGGTTGACATACAGAGCAGTAACAGAGCCAAGGAGCTGCTCGCACAGGTGAGGGAAGAGAGGCTATTATCTACTATGTAACATTTGCCTTTGCTAATTTTGATCATTCCATTACGTTGAATAAAAAGTCCATAGGTATTCCTGGTTAGTCAGGGTAGTCAGCAACCAACGCTGGTCATAAAAAGGCATAGCCGGTGGGTAGCCCAGTGGTTGAAGCGTTGACTCATCATGCTGAAGACCTGGTTCAATTCCCCACATGGGTAGAAAATGTGAAGCCCATTTCTTGTGTTCCTGCCGTGATACTGCTGGAAAGTTGCTAAAAGCGTTAAACCATACTCACTGACTCACTCATAAAGAGGGGCAGTGGGGTAGCCTATTGGTTAAAGCGTTCGCTCGTCATGCTGAAGTCCTGGGTTCGATTCCCCACATGGGTACAATGTGTGAAGCCCATTTCTGGTGTCCCCTGCCGTGATATTGCTGGAATATTGCTGCAAGCGGCGTAAAACCAAACTCACTCACTGACTCGTTCATAAAGAGGCAACATAATAGATGGGGTGGTCTGGCTTGTTGCTTGATTGCAATCATCTTGCGCCATCTGTGGGTCGGTGCTCATGATATCAATCACTATCCCAGACTGTGTTTAAACCAGGTTTTCGTGAGCTTCAGTGACATGTCTTGGAACTGTTTCAGGGATTGCTTCCTCAACGCCAACATGAACGCAGTGCGGAGCAGGAGAAGATCGAGAAGCGACGTCTGTTGCCTTATCACAAACACATCAACCTTGAGCTGCTGGAGTGTGTGTACCTAGTGTCGGCCATGCTGCTGGAGATCCCATACATGGCAGGTGAGACACTGTGTGCTGTATACCTTGAGAGGTGCCTTTTCTGTAAAGTCTACCCGTGAAGATCCTGTTTAGAATTGGTTTTCAACAACCCATGCTTGTTGTAAGAGGTGACTAATAGGATTGGTGGCCAGGCTCGCTGGCTTGGTTGACACATGTCATCGTCTTCCAATTGTGTTGAACGATGCTCATGCTGTTGATCACTGAATGTTCTGGGCCCGTTCCTCAAAGCGATCGCAGCACTAAGATGATCGTAACTCCCATACTTTAACATAGACTTATAACAGTCGTAGCGCTAAGATGAGCGTAACTCCCATACTTTAACATAGACTTATGACAGTCATAGCGCTAAGATGATCGTAACTCCCATACTTTAACATAGACCTATGACAGTCATAGCACTAAGATGATCGTAACTCCCATACTTTAACATAGACACTTATGACAGTCGTAGCGCTAAGATGATCGTAACTCCCATACTTTAACATAGACTTATGACAGTCGTAGCTAAGATGATCGTAACTCCCATACTGTAACATAGACTTATGACAGTCGTAGCGTCAAGATGATCGTAACTCCCATACTTTAACATAGACTTATGACAGTTGTAAACCTAAGATGATCGTAACTCCCATACTTTAACATAGACTTATGACAGTCGTAACCCTAAGATGATCGTAACTCCCATACTTTAACGTAGACTTATGACAGTCGTAGCGCTACGATCGCTTTGAGGAACTGAACCCTGGTCCAAGACTCGATTATTTACAGACCACCATCATATAGCTGGAATATTGCTGAGTGTGGCTTTAAACAATAACCAAACCAAATGGAACCTGTGAGATCTGTTACGTTACAGATTAGACACTATAGCTTGTGAGGTGTGTTTTCAGCACATGAGCTTGATGTCCGTCGTCGTATGATCAGCAAGAACTTCCACCACGTGATGAAGATGAGCGAGAGGCAGAACCTGACTGGACCGCCAGAGAGCATGAGGGAACACGTGGTTGCAGCATCCAAGTCCATGAAGACCGGGGACTGGAAGGCCTGCAAGAACTTCATCATCAATGAGAAGATGAATGCCAAGGTACGAAGTGCTTTTCTTGAGAAAGTTGGCGCTGGGGTAGCTTAGTGGTTAAAGTGTTGGCAAACCCATCTTCTCTTGTTCGTTTACGCGAAGCGATACAATGTCATATTCTTACCCCCTTACATGCAGTGATCTAACAGCGTTCGAAATACCTGCCTGCCCGACTGCCGGGGATGGGTTATTTTCAACACGGACTGCTAGATTCTCAAATTCACCTGCCCAATGGTCGGGTTAAAATTTAGACATATATATGAAGCTATTCATCATATTTCAGGATAATAAATCACACGAGCCAAAGATCCGGGTTCGATTCCTCACATGGGTACAATGTGTGAAGCCCATTTCTGGTGTCCCCGGACGTGATATTGCTGGAATATTGCTAAAAGCGGCGTAAAACATACTCACTCACTTACTCACTCACTCACTATTTATGCTCACGTAAAAATAATGATGAATTCCAGTTGGATGATAAGCTACATCGCCTGTCAAATCAAAATGATTTGCGAGCAGGTAAGTTTTGGTCATGGCTGGCAAGTTTAACAAACAAACCAGCCCTGTGGTCTGGTTGAATTTATTGCAAGTTTCATTTAGTGAAGAGTGTATCAAGTCAAAGGGTATGGATTGTCGTCTGTGTGTTGTAGGTGTGGGATCTGTTCTACAACAAGGATCAGGTGCGGGACATGATCACCAACAAGATCCAGGAGGAGAGTCTCAGGACGTACTTGTTCACCTACAGCAGCGTGTACGATTCCCTCTCCATGGACACACTGTCGGAGATGTTCGAGCTGAACAAGCCGGTCGTGCACTCCATCATCAGTAAGATGATCATCAACGAGGAACTCATGGTATGACGCTCTCACAAGATGGTGGATCTTATCTTGACAGTACAAACTTGCAGCCTTTTAACATCGAATCACTTTATGATGTGGTCCGTAGTGAATTTATTGATATACTATGAAGTGGTCAAGAGGAGTAAGGGATCGAAATCATGCCAGAAATATGACAATGATAATATTGTAGCACCAGCAAACTGCACTTTGTAATTGTTTTAAAAGAAAACTGGTCTCATATACTGCTGAAAGAAAGAGGGGTGGTGAGGTAGCTTAGTGGTTAAAGTGTTCGTTGGTAACACCCAAGACCAGGGTTCGATTCGCCAAATGGGTAGTGTGTGAAGCCCGCTTCTAGAGTCCATGGCCCGCCATAATATTGCCGATAAAAACGGTGCGAAAGCTAAACTCACTCGCTCACTAAACTAAATAGTAATCATGTTCGTCCTGCCAAGGTCCAGATTAGAATTGATCTTCAACAAACCACGCTTGTCTTAAGAGACAACGAACAGGATTGCAGATCAGACTCTTTGACGTGGCTGATTCTGATGTGCATTTAGCATAGATCAATGCTCGTGGTTTCAGCTGGACTGCCTTGTCTAGATTCTATTATTTTTACAGAGTGCCATCACATGGCTGGAATATTGCTGAGTGTGGTGTTAAATAAAAAACAATTAACGGTCATGTCCCATCATAAACACTGGATCAGAGTCTGTTGCTGTATTGCAGGCCTCCCTGGACGAGCCGACACAGACGGTGGTGATGCACCGCACGGAGCCTAGCCGTCTGCAGTCCCTGGCGCTGCAGCTGTCGGAGAAGGTGGCAACGCTGGTGGAGAACAACGAGCGTATTATGGAGATGAAGCAAGGCAACTTCTACTTCCAGAAGTCCAGTAAGTACTCGGTCTATCGTGCTTTGAGGACCCATTGGGGATACACACTCTGCTGAACACATCACAGAACATTCACAGTACCAGGCCCACTTCGCAAAGCGATCTTGGCACTAAGGACTTCTTAAATCTATGATAGAGTGTGGGGTCATCATAAGATCACTTTGTGCAAGTGGGCCCTGGGCAAATGGTGTAAACAGTCAAACCTTGCTTATATGGACACTTATTTTCTTAGATATTGTCCAGATAGACATGGATCCTGGAATCTATTGTTGATAAGAGTTACCTCCCTTTCTTAAATTCCCCCTGAAACACTTCTGTGATTTTATGCATCTTGTCTTTTTTCCCCATACATTGTACATCCAACATAAATAAATCTGCAGTGTTTTGGAACTGGGACATGCTAGTGTGTCCTTTCCACTGTTGAAATTCATTTCCGGAAAAAACCCAGCATATTTTGCTGTGTTTTGGGGGTAGGTTGCTCGAAACAATCGTCCAGTAGTCAAGATTCGCAGGTGTCTGAGGTCCAGATAAGCAGGGTTCCACTTTAGGACATCAAGCTACTCTGCCAGTAGTATAGCAGGTAGTCTGTTATTGCAAGAAGCAGAGTTTACCTGATACCAAATTTTCTTCCTTTTATATGATGATTAAAAAATGAACCCCAATAATATCTTGGATTTTGGAATCATTAACTCAAAGCATAGAAGTTTGATATATGTGATGTTTCTGATATGATGTGAAACAACAATGCTTGGGCAGTTTGTCAGATTGTTTCTGCGGGTTATTAAATTTTAATACTGGTACTTCCTGTTGCCATGACTACACTACGGTTTAATTGCCTGTATACGTGTAACCTCCATACACAGTGATAGATAGAGCTAACATGACACTCACCCTTGATGCAAGTAGAAGCTTGTCCTTTCTCTTGTGTTGCATGATCTTCATTTCTGTGTGTTGTTTAGCAATAACTTGTACTAATTTTTGCACAGAGCTATTTATTTGACTGGTAAGCTTGTTCGTGGTGCAGGGTGGTTGATGGTTGTGGTGATGGATGAGAGGGGGGGATGGGTTAGGTACCCCTCCTTGTTGCTGTGTCTGTGACCATCGGAGACACCATCGTCAAATCGTTAGCCCGAAGTTTGTGTTTTATAAGACAAATCGTCTCTTTGGCTTTCACAAACTGAGAATCTTGTGTCTGTTTTTACCCTGCGGTCTTCATGGACAGTATATTTTAAAAAACAATTGTTTCGTAAAAGTTAAAGACATTTAGTGTAATGCTATCTACATGGCTGGAGTTAGTAGTCCAGGGGCTGGAACTTTTTTGAGGTGATTATTGTAGGACTGAACATTTGATTTTAGGAGAAGGGCAGAATTATCAGAATTTATTGAAAAGTGTAAATTGTCTCAAAAAAACTAATGGCGCTTCAGACGGAGGTAGAAACGAAAGTAATTGTCGGGGAAAAAATGACATAGTTGCAATGTGGTTTTAGAAATTGATAAATGAAAACAATTATCTGGTTTTGGAACTGTAGTTGAAAATTTTTCTGAGAAAGATGCATTAACTCGGTGCGCCTATTGGCAGCAAGAGTTGTATGATCCCCAGGGAGTTGAGATTGATAATATGATGTGCCGCTGAATTGACATCTAATTGATCGAGGGAAATACAAAGAAGAGCTTTGAGAATGCATGTGAGATGGCCTATAGTGCTATATAAATATCCATTAAAAAACCATAAATAATAATAATAATAAAAAATGTTCTTGACCCTGAACTCCTTCCTTCAGAATGACAAGTGGTCTTCACCTATCATATTGGGCAAATAGATCACTTAACTACTGGGATACTCATGTCACAAGTTTAAGAAATATGTGGTCTCGTGGTAAATGATATGGCAGTGATTTATTACATGGTTTGAGTTCATTGACATTTCTGCATATGCCAGTAGGATTAATAGGTACTAGAAGTAGTGAAACTACAAAGAACATTCTCCAGAACAGATGCCTCAGATGGCCAACACAAATCGTCTGAAGGCACGCAGCTAACTGATGAGTTGTGTCCCTTGGGCAGGCTAAAACCTAACAGTTCTGGGTTTGAATCCCTGTTCGTCCTGATTATGTTGCTTGGTTTGTCAGCACCATTGGTTTCACCGGCCGTGAAGGCTCGGGTTAGAATGAACCTTCAGTGACCCATGCTTGTCGTAAGAGGCGACTAACGGGATCGGGTGGTCAGGCTCGCTTGCTTGGTTGACACATGTCATCGGTTCCCAATTGCGCAGATTGATGCTCATGCTGTTGATCACTGGATTGTCTGGTCCAGACTCGATTATTTACAGACTGTCGCCATATAGCTGGAATATTGCTGAGTGCGGCGTAAAACTAAACTCACTCATTGATTTCACCAAAGTGGTGTCTGATATCTGCATCACTTAAGGATCTCCACTTACATCTCCACCTACTTCAAGTTGGCACGCCGTGATCTGACTAGAATAGTGATGAAAGTAGCCCAGCTCTGTCTCACCTCTGTCTCAATCCAGATTGTACTGAAAAAAAGTTGCTCTTAATATGGATTTTGTTATTATTCCATGCCCTTTTAGTTCTGAATGTGTAGAGTAGCCTAGTGGTTAAAGCGTTGGCTCGTCACGCCGAAGACCTGGGTTCGATTCCCCACATGGGTGCAATGTGTGAAACCCACTTCTGGTGTCCCCCGCCGTGATATTGCTGGAATATTGCTAAAAGCGGCGTAAAACTAAACTCACTCAGTAATTCTGAATGTTGTAGGGATGTGTAGTGCTTTTTGTGGTGTAGTCCTAATATACCTCGGCACCTGCTGTCGGTGTTGGTGTGTTCGGTGTCCCCATCATGTCCTGTGTACCGTTGTTTAACTGTGTTTGTCACAGGTTACAGCTTTTACTGTGAATCACAAAATTTATTTATTTTTGAAAAATAAATTGAATAATTTGTTTGTCAATTTTTGTTGCTTTCAAATGTACATTTCCAGTTGCAGTAAATTTTAACAACAAATGTTATTATGGATAAAGGGAGCAATTTATTGCCACAGTCTGCAATATTCCAGCTCCATAATCGATTCTAGACTTGATAGTCCAGTGATTTATATTGTGAGCTATGAGGGGCAGTGGGGTAGCCTAGTGGTTAAAGTGTTCGCTCAACACGCCGAAGGCCCGGGTTCGATTCCCCACATGGGTACAATTTGTGAAGCCCATTCCTGGTGTCCCCTGACCGTGATATTGCTGGGATATTGCTTAAAATGGTGTAAAACCATACTCAGTCAGTCAGTGAGCTATGATTCTCCTGTTGGGGTAGGGGCTGTGGGATAGCCTAGTGGTTAAGATGTTCGCTCAACACGCTGATGACATGGGTTCGATTCCCCACATGAGCACAATGTGTGAAGCCCATTTCTGGTGTCCCCGCCGTGATATTGCTGGAATATTGCTAAAAACGGCGTAAAACTAAACTCACTCACTCACGTTGGGGTAATATGACCAAAAGAAATTTAAGTAAGAAATCTGACCACCTGATCCATTTGATTTATTATGAAAGCCTGGGTTGAAGGGGATCAGTTCTAACATGGAATCTCCACATGGGCATTACTAGCTTTAGGAAGGGATGGTCGGGGTAGCTCTGTAGTTATAGTGTTCATTCGCCTGGGTTCGATTCCTCACACTGTTACAATGTGTGAAGCCAATTTTAGTGTCTCCTGCCGTGATATTGCTGGAATATTGCTAACAAAGGTGTAAAACCATACTCACACTTTATTGATATGGAGCATTATGTAGATTAAAGAACTTGACATGATGTAACATGCTTCATTTTCTTAGCATTTCTGATTTTGTTTATAAGTGCATGATTCTTCACAAGTTTGCATGCTGTCGTTTCCAGACTTCCATGTTGACTGAGTTTCATCCACCATTCAGAAGCTTGATTGTTGTGTAACACTGCAATCAGCAATTTTCCAGCTCTTTTCATTTGGTCTGTAAATAATCGAATCTGGTCCAGACAATCCAGTGATTGACGTTATGAGCATTGATCTACGCAATTGGGATACGATGATATGTGTTAACCAAGTCAGCGAACCTGGCCACCCGATCCTGTTAGTTGTCTCTTACAACAAGCGTGGGTCGCGGGAGACCACATTCCCACCCAGATCTACTTGAGTCCTAAGTAATACATCTTGAGAAAAGTTGATTGGGTGTTCTTCATTCATGTGAATGACAACAAAACACAATGATGAGCATGCAGACAGCCGAAGGTTGGCTTCATTCCTGATCCAGGCAGTGGGGTAGCTTATTGGTTAAGGTGTTTGCTCGTCACGCCGAAGACCCGGGTTTGATTCCCCACATGGGCACATTGTGTGAAGCCCATTTCTGGTGTCCCCCGCCGTGATATTGCTTGAATATTGCTCAAAGCGGCATAAAACTAAACTCCCTCACTCACTCATTCCTTCACTTGCCACCAAGTGATGGCTGTGTAGAATGATGGTGACCTTGATATAAACTACTAGTTTTCCTTTGCTGTGTTTGTATCTTGTCTTTCACTGATGTGATTTTGTCTTTTGCAGATAATCAAGGCTACCAGCAGAACCAGAACTGGAGTAAGTATGGGAATACAGGTCTCGTGGGAGCACTGAAGCTCCTCTAGAAGGGAATCCTGTAAAGGCTGCCCTTGAGCAGCTTGCCCCCTGTGTAGGTTGCCTCCTGTGTAGGTTGCCCCTGTGAAGGATGCCAACGTGTAGGTTGCTCTTGAGAAGGTCGCCCATGAGCATGTTGCCCCTGTGCAGCTTGCCTCTTGTGTAGGTTGCCTCCTGTGCAGGTTGCCCTTGTGAAGGTTGCCTGTGTGTAGGTTGCCCCTCTGCACCTTGCCTCCTGTTTAGGTTGCCCCTGTGTAGGTTGCCCCTGTGAGGGTTAACCCTGTGCAGCTTGGTTTGTGAAGGATTAATACTGTGTAGGTTGTCCCTGTCTTGACTGCCCATTTGTATGTTGCCCCTGAATTAGTTGCCCTTGAGTAGGTTGCCTCTTTTGTACATTGTCCCTGAATTAGTTGCCCTTGAGTAGGTTGCCCCTTTTGTATGTTGCCCCTGAATTAGTTGCCCTTGAGTAGGTTGCCCCTTTTGTATGTTGCCCCTGAATTAGTTGCCCTTGAGTAGGTAGTGAGTAGATTATATATAGTGAGGACATCATGTACAGGGTATCATTGGTATGTGATATATAGTGAGGACATGGTGTACAGGGTATAAGTGTTAGATGATATAAAGTGAAGACATCATGTATAGGGTATCATTGGTAGGTGATATATAGTGAGGACGCCGTGTACAGGGCATCATTGGTAGGATATATATATATGTATATATTGAGGACATCGTGTACAGGGCATGAGTATTAGATGATATATAGTGAGGACATCAGGGTATCATTTACGGATGATATATCATGAGGTTGCTGTGGTGAAGAAGCTTCCTCATCAAGTGCTTGTTGGCCACAAAAGTACTGATGGAATTGTTCCAACATGTTGTTTTAGCTATGTCTGAGTGTGTTCCTTTTGTATGTTGCCCCTGAATTAGTTGCCCTTGAGTAGGTAGTGAGTAGATTATATATAGTGAGGACATCATGTACAGGGTATCATTGGTATGTGATATATAGTGAGGACATCATGTACAGGGTATAAGTGTTAGATGATATATAGTGAGGACATCATGTACAGGGTATCATTGGTAGGTGACATATAGTGAGGACATCGTGTACAGGGTATAAGTGTTAGATGATATATAGTGAGGACATCATGTACAGGGTATCATTGGTAGGTGACATATAGTGAGAACATCATGTACAGGGTATCATTGGTAGGTGATATGTAGTGAGGACATCATGTACAGGGTATCATTGGTAGGTGACATATAGTGAGGACATCATGTACAGGGTATAAGTGTTAGATGATATATAGTGAGGACGCCTTGTATAGGGCATCATTGGTAGGAGATATATATAGTGAGGACATCGTGTACAGGGCATGAGTATTAGATGATATATAGTGAGGACATCAGGGTATCATTTACGGATGATATATCATGAGGTCGCTGTGGTGAAGAAGATTCCTCATCAAGTGCTTGTTGGCCACCAAAGTACTGAAGGAAGTGTTCCAACATGTTGTTTTAGCTATGTCTGAGTGTGTTCTTCTCATTGTAGACCGGCGTGACGGGGATCATCATAAACAAGGTGGTTGGAGTAAGTTTAAGGACGTTGTTTGTATGTACTTGTTGGTGAAATGTGAACAGGACATTGTGTACAGGGTATAAGTATTGTATGATATATAGTGAGGACATCGTGTACAGGGTATTATTGGTAGGTGATATATAGTGAGGACATCATGTACAGGGCATCATTGGTAGGTGACATATGGTGAGGACATCGTGTACAGGTATCATTGGTATGTGATATATAGTGAGGACATCGTGTACAGGTATCATTGGTATGTGATACATAGTGAGGACATCGTGTACAGGGCATCATTGGTAGGTGACATATGGTGAGGACATCGTGTACAGGTATCATTGATATGTGAAATAAAGTGAGGACATCGTGTACAGGGCATCATTGGTAGGAGATATATAGTGAGGACATCGTGTACAGGGCATCATTGGTAGGTGATATATAGTGAGGACATCGTGTACAGGGCATCATTGGTAGGTGATATGTAGTGAGGACATCGTGTACAGGGCATCATTGGTAGGTGACATATAGTGAGGACATCATGTACAGGGCATCATTGGTAGGTGATATGTAGTGAGGACATCGTGTGCAGGGTATCATTGGTAGGAGATATATAGTGAGGACATCGTGTACAGGGCATCATTGGTAGGTGATATATAGTGAGGACATCGTGTACAGGGCATCATTGGTAGGTGATATGTAGTGAGGACATCGTGTACAGGGCATCATTGGTAGGTGACATATAGTGAGGACATCATGTACAGGGCATCATTGGTAGGTGATATGTAGTGAGGACATCGTGTACAGGGCATCATTGGTAGGTGATATGTAGTGAGGACATCGTGTACAGGGCATCATTGGTAGGTGACATATAGTGAGGACATCATGTACAGGGCATCATTGGTAGGTGATATATAGTGAGGACATCGTGTGCAGGGTATCATTCCCGTCTTGAATGCCCTTGAGTTGGTTGCCCCCTGTGTAGGTTGCCTCTGTATAGGTTGCCTCTCACCTGAATGTCCCTGTGTAGTTTTCTTCTGTGTGAGATTCCTGTGTAGAATGCACCTTGTGTATATTGCCCCTGTATTGGTTGCCACTGTGTAGGTTGCCCCTTTTGTATGTTGCCCCTGAATTATTTGCCCTTGAGTAGGTTGCCTCTTTTGTACATTGCCCCTGAATTAGTTGCCCTTGAGTAGGTTGCCCCTAAGTTAGTTTTGTATGTTGCCCTTTGTATTGTACCCCTGAATTATTTGCCCTTGAGTAGGTTGCCCTTTTTGTACATTGCCCCTGAATTAGTTGCCCTTGAGTAGGTTGCCCTTTGTACATTGCCCTTGAGTAGGTTGCCTTTTGTATGTTGTAGATGTACAGTTAGGTTGCCCCTTGAGTAGTTGCCCTTGAGTAGGTTGCCCCTTTGTATGTTGCCCTTGAGTAGGTTGCCCGTCGGTTGCTGAATTAATTCCCTTTGTATGTTGCCCCCTGAATTGCTGCCCTTGAGTAGGTTGCCCCTTTGAATTATGTTGCCCCTGGATTATGAGAGGTTGCCCCTTTGTAGCCCCTGAATGGTTGCCCCTTGAGTAGGTTGCCCATTGCCCCTGAATTAATTGCCCTTGAGTAGGTTGCCCTCTTTAATTGCCCTTGTGTAGGTTGCCACTGTTTAGTTTGCCCGAGCATAGGTTGCCCCTGACCTGAATGTCCCTTTTTATAGTATTCTGTGTGTTATGCCCCTCTGTAGGATGCACCTTATGTCCATTGTAGTGTGCTCTTTTGTAGGGTTTTAGTTTCTAACTTTGTAGAACAGGTGTCTTCCACAATGTTCATCTTATGATGGTCCAGATGGGTAGTGTGTCAAGCCACCCATTGTGCAACTGTTGACAGTAGGGCCACAGTCCAGGACAGGCCTTACATGTAGTTGGCACAAGCTGTTGTTAGTCAGTTTCTGAAGTAGAATATATTGACCTGTTCGTAAAAGCATCATAAAATTTGCATAATATTAAAGCTGCTGACATATGACATGTTTTTAAGGACAATCTAAGATTGTAAATCACATTACAATGATCAGATGTGTCACAGATACCTGGGAATCCTTTCTGCAAATGTCTCTCATTTTACGGGGCGACGGGTTAGCCTATCGGTTAAAGTGTTCGCTTGTCACGCCAAAGACACGGGTTCGATTCCCCACATGAGTACAATGTGTGAAGCACATTTCTGGTGTCCCCTGTCGTGATAATCCTAGAATATTGCTAAAAGCAGTGTAAAACTAAACACATCACTATAATTTTCCATCTTCAACATGTGCGGGTTTGATGGTCTAAAGTGTTAAGTTTGCTGTGTTAAGGCTCCTGAGACTGTAGACTGGCAAGATGGCTATCATCACAAAGATGGATGGAGTGAGACTACTGTAATTCAAGGCCTCCCATCTTCTTACATCATTTGAATGACATCGTTCAATGAGATTTTAGTTATCTTAGTGATGTTTTAAATGTTCACTTGTTACTTTTTCTTAAAACATTTTGTCTCGAGGAGCATTTGTATCAAGACACAGTATTATTTTGCCATGACCCTTTTTCATCTGATTCACTCAAAGTTGAGGTTGGTCCCTTGTTACTGGTGACCTTGACCTTGACCTTGACTTGTTTAGTGTTGTATGCTTTAGATTCTAAATGATAAATGAGGTATTCATTTGCTGAAAGAGGTGCTGTTTGCCTGTTTACTGCTGAGGGAATCCCTCGTACCTGATGCTGCTTTAGGTGATCAGGGTTAGATGTGGTGAGGACATCATGTTAAGGCATCCTTGGTAGATGATATATAGTGAGGACATCGTGTACAGGGTATAAGTGTTGGATGATATATAGTGACGACATCGTGTACAGGGCATCATTGGTAGGTGACATACAGTGAGGATATCGTGTACAGGGTATCATTGGTAGGTGATATATAGTGAGGACATCATGTACAGGGCATCATTGGTAGGTGATATATAGTGAGGACATCGTGTACAGGGTATCATTGGTAGGTGATATATAGTGAGGACATCATGTACAGGGTATCATTGGTAGGTGATATATAGTGAGGACGCCATGTACAGGGCATCATTGGTAGGATATATAAATATATATAATATATATATATATATATATATATATATATATATATTGAGGACATCGTGTACAGGGCATGAGTATTAGATGATATATAGTGAGGACATCAGGGTATCATTTACGGATGATATATCATGAGGTCGCTGTGGTGAAGAAGATTCCTCATCAAGTGCTTGTTGGCCACAACAGTACTGAAGGAAGTGTTCCAGCATGTTGTTTTAGCTATGTCTGAGTGTGTTCTTCTCATTGTAGACCGGCGTGACGGGGATCATCATAAACAAGGTGGTTGGAGTAAGTTTAAGGACGTTGTTTGTATGTACTTGTTGGTGAAATGTGAACAGGACATTGTGTACAGGGTATAAGTATTGTATGATATATAGTGAGGACATCGTGTACAGGGTATTATTGGTAGGTGATATATAGTGAGGACATCGTGTACAGGGCATCATTGGTAGGTGACATATGGTGAGGACATCGTGTACAGGTATCATTGGTAGGTGATATATAGTGAGGACGTCGTGTACAGGGCATCATTGATAGGTGATATATAGTGAGGACATCGTGTACAGGGCATCATTGGTAGGTGACATATAGTGAGGACATCGTGTACAGGGCATCATTAGTAGGTGACATATGGTGAGGACATCGTGTACAGGTATCATTGGTATGTGATATATAGTGAGGACATCGTGTACAGGGTATCATTGGTGGGTGATATATAGTGAGGACATCGTGTACAGGGCATCATTGGTGGGTGATATATAGTGAGGACATCGTGTACAGGGCATAATTGGTAGGTGATATATAGTGAGGACATTTAATGATATATCTTGAGGTCATCATTGGTAGGGGATCAGTGCAAGCTCATTGAGTTCGCGTTGGCCACAAATGAACTGAAGGAAGTGAGTTGATATGTTTGAATTTCCAGCATGTTGTTTAGCTATGTCTGAGTGTGTTCTTTTCATTGTAGACCGGCGTGACGGGGATCATCATAAACAAGGTGGTTGGAGTAAGTTTAAGGACGTTGTTTGTTTGTACTTGTTGGTGAAATGTGAACAGTACATTATGTACAGGGTATAAGTATTGTATGATATATAGTGAGGACATCGTGTAAAGGGGCATCATTGGTAGGTGATATGTAGTGAGGACATCTTGTACATGGTATAAGTGTTGGATGATATGTAGTGAGGACATCGGTACAGGGTATAAGTGCTGGTTGATATTACTTTAGGACATCGTGTATAGGGTATAGGTTTTTGGATAATATATCGTGAGGACAATGTACAGGGTATAAATCAGTACAGGGTATTAGTGTTGGTTGATATATATAGTGAGAACATCAGGATATAAGTATTGGATGATATAGTGAGGACATCGTGTACATGGTATAAGTGTTGGATGATATGTAGTGAGGACATCGGGTACAGGGTATAAGTGCTGGATGATATTACTTTAGGACATCGTGTATAGGGTATAGGTTTTTGGATAATATATCGTGAGGACATCATGTACAGGGTATAAATCTTTGATGATATATAGTGAGGACGCCGTGTACAGGGTATTAGTGTTGGTTGATATATATAGTGAGAACATCGTGTATAGGATATAAGTATTGGATGACATATAGTGAGGACATCGTGTACAGGTCGTCATTGGTAGGAGATATATAGTGAGGACATCGTGTACAGGGCATGAGTATAAGATTACATATAGTGAAGCCATCATGGTATTGTGGAAGGATGATGTATCTTGAGGTCAACATGCGTAGGGGTTCAGTGCTAGCTCATCGAGTTCATAATGATGTTGATCACAAATGTCCTCAAAGAAGTGATTGATCTCTTTGAATGTGTTTTAGCTATGTCTGACTGTGTTCTTCTCATTGTAGACCGGCGTGACGGGGATCATCATAAACAAGGTGGTTGGAGTAAGTTTTAGTTTTTTGTACTTGTTGGTGAAATGTGAATATGACGTTTTTCAGAAACCATTTGTCCTCCTCCATTGCTGAATGTTTACAAGCTGCAGTGTTGTGTCGAGGATCATGCGTTGGTTCTTTGTCAATTGTTTACTACAAGGGAATTCCAGAGAAACTGGGCCAAAATAAGACTTATAAAATAGACATGAAGGGTAAGAGGGAATCAGGGAGGGTCACCAAAAACAGACTGTCTATTGGGAATAAACCGAACCTCAATCAGTGACATTAAGGTTCTGTTAAACATACACGTGAAGATCCGGGTTAGAATTGGTCTTCAGCAGCCCACGCTTGTTGGGATAAGATGACATGTGTCAGCCAAATCAGAGTTTGACCACCCGACCCTGTTAGTCGCCTCTTTCGACAAGCATGGGTTGCTGAAGACCAGTTTTAACCTGTAGTTAATGCTTGCTACAGCTGTATGTTATGTTTGTCCACTAGCTATATGAGGGGCTTTCAAAAAGTAGCCATCCTCACCTACAAAATGATACAAATACAGCTAGTTTTATGTTGTATTTTTCTAAATATTATCTGTCAACCTCAAGCAAATTGATTTTGCTGTGTTCCAGTCTCACAATCCCCATTTTGGTTGACTTTTTATCTTGGTTTCCCTTTCTTCTTCTTCTTTCTTCTTTCCCCCCCCCCCCCATAATAATATGCAAAATCTGCAATAAATGCATCACAAAGTTCAGGAAACAAAATATGCAAGAAACATTTTGTGTGTTTGAGATAGGCAGAAGTCTGCTAGAATCAAACTTAGTTATCAAAGTGCATAAAAATGCAATTTGAAACTACAATCGCTTGTTAAAGTGACTCTCCCTTCATCTTTACTGAAAGAGCTGTTTTGTTGATGTCCTTTAAAAACAGCCCCGTCTAAATATAAATCAAGCAATCCAAATCTTTGAATGTTGATTATGAGGGGTAGTCAGCCACTACTATACTGAGCATATTTTATATAATATCTGAGGGGCATACCATTATCCAAGAGGTACCAAATGACATATAGTTTTTAATTTTCTGCAATTTTGTTAGAAATATTATACCCCAATGTGTTGTGATGACTAATATCTCGTTAACCACATTACCCACACATGTGAAATTTTGGATAGGGCTTTGCTAACGATTCATTCAAAATAACATGGAAGCTTTTCAAACATTGCACATCGAGAATATAGTTAGGCTGACAACTTTTTGAACACCCCTCGTAGATAAAGAAAGGATTTCTGTTGTGTTGTCGATCTCTGTCCTGTCCAGAACTGAGCGTTGTTTTCATGTTTCAGATCGAAGAGACGGGGATCAGAAACAAGGTGGTTGGAGTAAGTTATATGTCTCATTTTCAAGCATGAAATGCCACCAGTGCTGGTTCAGTTAGTTTGTTCTGATTCAATCACAAATCACTTTGGGCTTTCCTTATACAGGAAGCTGATGCGACGCTTAGTGACTGAAATACTAGCGATTGCTTCTGTTATTATCCCCCTGGCATGTAATGCGGGGGAATATAGTCGACACCTTGTCCGTCTGTCCGCAATCAGTTTGTTTCTGGAGCCTAATTCAAAAACCATTAAATATTTTTCAACAAAAATTGGTAGATTTATCAAACAGAATCTAAAGTGGTGCCTTTTGCTATTTATAATTTTTTGTCATTTTTTTTCTCCTCGGTTTCCATGGAAACGGTTTGGACTTAGTTTCAAAAGGAAGGGGTTGGTTTCGTTTCTGGAGTATAACTAAAAAAACGTTTAGTATTTTTCAACAAAACTTGGCAGATATATGAAACAGATCCCGAAGTGGTGCCTTTTGCTATTTGCATATTTTTGGCATTTATAGTTTTCATGATTTCCATGGAAACAATTTAGACTTAGTCTTAAAAAAATAAAGGTGGACTTTGAGCAACTGTCATATGATTTGTTCTTTCAAATATGGTGGGGGTGGGGGTGGAGGGATTTGTTAGCTGATGTTGTGTTGATGACATTGCCCTGATTGCTGGTTAGTGTAATCAGTACTTGGTCTCACAGTGTTCACTTGCTTCTTGTTTAACATCACACTCTGCAATAATCCAGCTGTGTGATGGCGGTCTGTAAATAATTGAGTCTGGATCAGACAATCCAGTGATCAACATTATGAGCATTGATCTGTGCAACTGGGATATGATGAGATGTGTTAACTAATTTAGCAAGCCCCATTAGTTGTCTCTTACGACAAGCATAGGTTGCTTAAGACCAATTCTTACCCAAATTGTCACCATTCGGTCTCACACTGACACAGTAAAAGAGCAAGAATTTTCCATTGAAACACAACCCAGTGGCTTTTGTGTTGAGGTGACTGATGTCTGTCAGACAAGTCCTGGCAAGAGGCTTCAGTAGGTGTTGTTGAACACTTAAAACACAAACAGAAATTTAGAAAAGTTCAGCAGGAAGCCAGTTATTCATTGATAACTGATTGGTGTCCTGAATGCGAATGTGTTTTGTGAGTGAAGAGACACCCAGTGTTATTTTTGCAGAATTGTGTTCCTTCGGAGTTCCAGAAACCTGTTATCATGGGTTTGAATAGTTTGAGTATTTGTAGGAGTGTCAACTAAATATTTGATTTGTGTTACAGATCGGCGTGATGGGGATCACAAACAAGGAGGTGGTGGTTGGAGTAAGTGTTACTTCTGTTGTGGTAGACCTCTAGTTTCCTTTGTTTTCCGTCCAGTCATGTTGGTGGACCTGTAGTTTAACCAGTTGTCTGGCCAGTCATGTTAGTGTACAGCCAGTTTCCCCAGCTGTCTAGCCAGTCATGTTGGTGGACCTGTAGTTGAACCAGCTGTCTAGCCAGTCATGTTGGTGGACCTGTAGTTTAACCAGTTGTCTGGCCAGTCATGTTAGTGTACAGCCAGTTTCCCCAGCTGTCTAGCCAGTCATGTTGATGGACCTGTAGTTGAACCAGCTGTCTAGCCAGTCATGTTGGTAGACCTGTAGTTTAACCAGCTGTCTAGCCAGTCATGTTGGTAGACCTGTAGTTTAACCAGTTGTCTAGCCAGTCATGTTGGTAGACCTGTAGTTTAACCATTTGTCTGGCCAGTCATGTTGATAGACCTCTAGTTTCCTTTGTCTGGCCAGTCATGTTATTGGACCTCTAGTTTCCTTTGTCTGGCCAGTCATGTTATTGGACCTCTAGTTTCCTTTGTCTGGCCAGTCATGTTATTGGACCTCTAGTTTCCTTTGTCTGGCCAGTCATGTTATTGGACCTCTAGTTTCCTTTGTCTGGTCAGTCATGTTATTGGACCTCTAGTTTCTTTTGTCTGGTCAGTCATGTTATTGGACCTCTAGTTTCCTTTGTCTGGTCAGTCATGTTATTGGACCTCTAGTTTCCTTTGTCTGGCCAGTCATGTTATTGGACCTCTAGTTTCCTTTGTCTGGTCAGTCATGTTATTGGACCTCTAGTTTCCTTTGTCTGGTCAGTCATGTTATTGGACCTCTAGTTTCCTTTGTCTGGTCAGTCATGTTATTGGACCTCTAGTTTCCTTTGTCTGGACCTCAGTCATGTTATTGGACCTCTAGTTTCCTTTGTCTGGTCAGTCATGTTATTGGACCTCTAGTTTCCTTTTTCTGGTCAGTCTTTCGGACCTCTAGTTTCCTTTGTCTGGTCAGTCATGTTGGTGGACCTCTAGTTTCCTTTGTCTGGTCAGTCATGTTATTGGACCTCTAGTTTCCTTTGTCTGGTCAGTCATGTTATTGGACCTCTAGTTTCCTTTGTCTGGCCAGTCAGTCATGTTATTGGACCTCTAGTTTCCTTTGTCTGGTCAGTCATGTTATTGGACCTCTAGTTTCCTTTGTCTGGTCAGTCATGTTGGTGGACCTCTAGTTTCCTTTGTCTGGTCAGTCATGTTATTGGACCTCTAGTTTCCTTTGTCTGGTCAGTCATGTTATTGGACCTTTGTCTAGTTTCTAGTTTCCTTTGTCTGGTCAGTCATGTTATGGACCTCTAGTTTCCTTTGTCTGGTCAGTCATGTTATTGGACCTCTAGTTTCCTTTGTCTGGTCAGTCATGTTATCTGGACCTCTAGTTTCCTTTGTCTGGTCAGTCATGTTATTGGACCTCTAGTTTCCTTTGTCTAGTCAGTCATGTTGTTATCTGGACCTCTAGTTTCCTTTGTCTGGTCAGTCATGTTATCGGACCTCTAGGGTTGAAGTCACAGCCAGGTGGCAACTTCTGCACAACATTTTTGTCTTGTAGGAAAGTTTGATATGACATGAAAGGTAATGAAATGAAACTCTTGTTATTTTCAGACCGCCAGGATCGAGATCGTGGACAGAATAATTGGAGTAAGTCAAAGCTTTGTTATCGCTTGTTCTGTGCACCAAAACTGGCCACCAAACTTTCAGTACAGTCCGTATGATTACTGCCAGGCATGCAAAGAGAAGCAGTCTGTCCAGGGCCTCCTTCCACAAACCACTAAGTTGATCGTAAGTCACTAAGGTAACCTTAGTGCAATGTTACAAATGGGAGGTAAAGTAAACCTTAGTAAGGTTGCTTCGTGAAAGGAGTCTCTGGGCTTGTTCTGCAAAGCAGTGTTAGTGCCACAACTGTAGTAATCCATGTTAAAGAATAGGAGTTGCTTCGTGAAAGGAGTCTCTGGGCTTGTTCTGCAAAGCAGTGTTAGTGCCACAACTGTAGTAATCCATGTTAAAGAATAGGAGTTGCTTCGTGAAAGGAGTCTCTGGGCTTGTTCTGCAAAGCAGTGTTAGTGCCACAACTGTAGTAATCCATGTTAAAGAATAGGAGTTGCTTCGTGAAAGGAGTCTCTGGGCTTGTTCTGCAAAGCAGTGTTAGTGCCACAACTGTAGTAATCCATGTTAAAGAATAGGAGTTGCTTCGTGAAAGGAGTCTCTGGGCTTGTTCTGCAAAGCAGTGTTAGTGCCACAACTGTAGTAATCCATGTTAAAGTATCGGAGCTGTGATGAACTTAGCGCTAAGAGCACTTTACTGAATAGTACCTAAGACTGTGTTAACGACGACAGACATGCTAGAATGCTGTGAGTCATGAATTTCACTTGTCAAATTCAAATTAAACAAAACCCAGTAAACAAACACAGATAAAAACCACAACAGAATCAAGTGGCATGTATAATCACATTGATGACATCTGTTTGTCTATTGTGGGAAGGTGTGTCTCACATCTGGAAGGGGAGGTGGGATAGCCTAGTGGTTTAAGAGCTTGCTCGTCACACTGAAGTCCCGGGTTCAATTTGTAATAGTAATAGTCCTCTTATTATATGGCGCTCATATCCAGGCACATTGCCTGCTCACAGCGCTACTCACATTACTATCCCCGGTCATAGGACACTATTGTACTTTCCGATACTTTTTCAACTCCCTGGGGATCATACAGCCATGCTGCCTGTTACACCATATCTGGTGTCATCCGCCGTGATATTGCTGGAATGTTGCTTACAGCGGTGTTAAACTAGGTTCACTCACTTATCATTAAAGATCTGTGAAAGAATTAATCCTCAACCAATGCTCGTTAACCAAAAACAAACAAAAAACTGAACAAACATTCATTTCTCCATCTTATTTTCAGACCGTAGGGGCCGTCAACAGAGAGCCTACTAAGACAGAACTCTGGTGGAGGACTTGATGTGGTCATCCCATGGGGTGTGCTGCTGTCTGCACAATGTTCCTTGTGTTGCAATCTTGGGGCAAGAACAGTTGCACAGACTTGGTCTCTTCAACATCTTGCCTCAGTTGTCCAACTGACTATTTATAAAGACACTGACATGGGGAAACAATCATGGTTGTTGGTATGTCAGTAACCAGTCCGCCTGGATTTAGGGTTAACAGTTATATTCAAGTCCTTTGATGTTTCCTGATTGTCATCGGATGGAGGAAGATTTTTATGATCTTAAGATTGAGAACAATATCTACCTATGATTTTTATGTTTATGAAGACAATTGTAAAATCAAATTCCACATGTGTTTCTCCTCTGTCAGCTTTTTATGACATGTTGCTATTGTTAGATGTATCATGTAATCACAGTTTGTACATTGTGTACAATGATTCAGTTATCTCATCCTGTCTGTTTTGGATGTGCAAAAATCAAGTTAAAGGCAAGTAAGGTGTAATATGAAACATACTAATAAACTATTGTAAAGCTATCAAGGAATTTTGTGTGATACTTATTAGTAAGGTGGATGGGTAACCTTCTTATGGAACAGAGCCAATCTCTGTGTACCAGAATGTTCTGGAGTCAGACCCACTCTTTGTGTACCAGAATAAAATGTTCTACAGTCAGAACAGACCCTCTTTCCGTGCACCGGAACACCACCTAGAGTCAGAGCAGACCCTCTTTCCGTGCACCAGAACAGATCCTAGAGCCAGAACAGACACTCTCCATGTACCAGACCCTCTCTCCGTGCTCCAGAACACATTCTACAGCCAGAAACAGAGCCTCTCTCCATGTACCAGGACACATTAAAAAGAACAGACCCTCTTTCTGTGCACCAGAATACATCCTCGAGTCAAAACAAACCCTCAGAACAGACCCTCTTTCCGTGCACCAGCACCAGAACAGATCCTAGAGTCAGTCAAACAGACCCTCTTCCGTCAGAACAGCACCAGAACAGATCCTAGAGTCACATTCTAAGTCAGAACAGAGCCTCCCTCTTCTTTCCGTGCACCAGAACAGATCCTAGAGTCAAAACAGACCCTCTTTCCGTGCACCAGAACAGATCCTAGAGTCAGAACAGACACTCTCCATGTACCAGACCCTCTCTCCGTGCTCCAGAACACATTCTACAGCCAGAACAGAGCCTCTCTCCATGTACCAGGACACATTAAAAAATCAGAACAGACCCTCTTTCTGTGCACCAGAATACATCCTCGAGTCAGAACAGACCCTCTCTCCTTATACCAGTCGATCATTTTGGAGGTGACAACGTAATGGTGTGATCACTATGGTGGTAGGACGGCTCTTGTACATCTGACAGGTGCACTTGACAGGCATTATATATCAAGACGTGATCCAGCAGCAACATGCCATTCCACACACGAACATCAAGGATGCACTGTTCCAGCACAACGCCAGACCATATATTGCATGTGTTTGTCAGGAGTTTCCACAGCGCCAGAACGTCCACACACCACCACAGAGACTTCCACAACTTCTAACCAGATATACTGTATGGGACATCTCTATGCTTATCCCCTTCCCATAGTGCCATGACCTTTAGTTCTTTAGATCACGTCTTTTTATTAAACTTTGAAAGTCACGATTCTTCATTTTGATGAGAATATAGCTGTACAGTGCATACCAACAATGATGGAGAAGGAAAGTCCCTAAAACTTTGTTTCAATTCGTTGTTATCAAATCAGCTCCGACTGGCCAGTCAGAAATTTCCAAATTCCTTGTAGTATGTCCATTATAGATTTCAGGGAATCAAACACAGGTGATGGACACGAACATCCTTCATTGTCCGGAGAGTATATGCTCCAGTGTTATTGGTAACATTAACTGTTCCTACAAGAGGAGAAAAGACACCACCGTAGTAGATGATACCTCAGTACAGTATCATGTTCCCGGGCCATGCGGTCAGTGTGGTCACCTCTGTACTCGCATTACTGGACAGTGTTATCTTATTAAGCGTCTCCTCATCGTTATAATACAACACACCAGCTGCCTGATCCAGGGTTACTGCATATATTCTTCCTCTTGCTAAAGTTGCCAGACCTTGGCCATCATATGTCATCATGAACAGCCTCGCTTTGTTACACACATATAGGGGCGGTGGGGTAGCCTAGTGGTTAAAGAGTTGGCTCGTCACGCCGAAGACCCGTGTTCGATTCCCCACATGGGCACAATGTGTTAAGCCCATTTCTGGTGTCCCCTGCCGTGATATTGCTGGTATATTGCTAAAAGCGGCGTAAAACTGAACTCAGTCAGTCAGTCAGTACACCCATATATCCTTTTTCTTCTGGTATCAAGAGTTATCTGCCTTGGAATGATCCCGTACGATAAATATTTGATGGTAGTGAAGTACCCCCCTAGTGTTGGCATGCGACACAGAGAGTATTGTGGTTGCTTTCTGACTATAAATACGGAGTCCCGCCTTTCATCCACTGCCATGACTGTTGAAAAAACACCGTCCACCAATTCCGTCACGTGATTTGTATCCAGGGAAGATGATACTATCTTAGTAGGTTCGTATAATCCTATCAGAAGACTCTTTGTCTTTGCTGTGTAGGCAAGAGAGGTCACTCTCTTCATGTTGTGATACGGATATGCACTCAGAGAGTTGGTGTGGATGTTGAGTTGGCGGAACCGGTGCTGGGCTCGTGACGTGGACAGCAGAATCAAGATCCTGATGCTCTTCTCCGTTGGTGTTGGTGTCGTCTCTGATGTTGTCAACACTGGCGACCTGGATGGAGAGGTAAAGGTTTGGGTTGCAGGCACAGCAAGAGTTGTGTTCAGTTGTGAAATTTGGGAATGAGAAGTCTCATTTAATATTCGTTCAATGTCTGTCTTGAGACCAGAAGCATGAACCTTGGACATCCGTAGTTTTATTTTCAATCTGCGTTTGTCTCTGATGCCGTCAACACTGGTGATCCGGAAGAAGATGTAACATTTTGAGTTTCTTTGGAAGAAGCAGGCAAAGCAAGAGTTGTTTGCAATTGTGAAATATGGGACTGCCAGGTCTCATTTAATACGATGTTCAAATCGTTCAATGTCTGTCTTCAGATCAGCAGCATAAGCATTGAACTTCCGTAGTTCTATTTCCAGTCTGCGTTTGTCTCTGATACAGATATCACTTTTGTTGTGTCGTTTCCAAACATCTGTCTTTTCAAGGACAGATTCGTGAAACGCACCCGTCTGGTCTTGAAAGTCTTTGAGAGATCGTGAGACATGATGCAGCTGTCTCTTCATCTGATGGTGCTCATGTTTCAGATGCCTCAATTCAGTGACAACCTCACTCTTCACCATGTCTTGAAGAGAATCGCTTTGCAGAATCTCAGTCATGGCGTTTCTCACTTGCTCCCATATGTTTTCCTTCATTTCAGCTCTCAATTCTGTCTTCACGACGTCGATAATGTCAAGTACCCTCGTCTCCACACGGAGCATATTCACCTTGTTATCAAGCAGATCGTCCTGGAACTGGTCCAGCCTGTTTATGACAGACACAATTCTGTCATGGCAGTTACAACCACTGATGACGTAGATACACGTCAATGCCAGTGCCCAGAGTTTTACTTCATCCATCTTTACAACTGTTCAGTCAGCTGCTCTTGTCCGTTAGAATGAAGTGTTCGTGTATCCCTCTGTGTGATACCACGTTTTCTGCTACTCCTTCGCTGGTGTAACGTTCATATGTACATTTACTAGGTTATCACGATGTAATCAGTGTTGCGAGTGACTCAGGGTGCACTCAGGGGTGTAAAGAACGCTCGGATATCAGTTTTAAACTGGTTTAGCAAGTGTATGCCCCTATCACTGGTGATCTATGCATCGTGCAGCGTATACTCAAACAATGTATTTTACAGGTACTTTACTGACATAGATTGGAAGTTGGCAAACATCAAGTGGTCCTCTTAAAGAAAATAAGGTCAGCCATACTTGCTCCACATCTTACACAATTATAACAACACCACCCTACAAAAAGTGACTTCACAGTAGTTGAATTTCAATTTCTTTGACGTTTACTCGTCAGCATTTGTTGCCCAAACTAATTAACCAACCTTAACTACGATGCGAAGTCATGGCCTTGGATCAAGATGAAGAGGTGTCCTGAGACTGTTTTAAATACTGGTTATCTTAAAAAGGTATCAAAAATTGATCAGTATTTCATGAATGGGTATCAAACAGTTTAAAATGAGCATACATACGTGTGAAGAATACGTTTAGTCTGTAAGTACATGGGTCGTCGGTTATCTGAACTTTGATAATATGTATTCGATAAATGTATAGGTCCATGTGTAACATGGTACGAGCTTGATTGAGCAATACAAGTATATCGCTTTTGTTGCCATATCATAACTCCAGTTCTTAAAAGATTTCTGCAGTAACATACACAATAGGTCTTAAACGCTTGCTGCAATAACCTAAACCCTCCTACTTAAACGATTGCTGCAATACTATATGCCCTAGTTCTTAAACGATTGCTACAATAACACATGCCCTAGTTCTTAAACGATTGCTGCAATAACATATGCCCTAGTTCTTAAACAATTGCTGGAGTAACATACACCCTCCTTCTTAATAAATGGCTGCAATAGGATACCCCCTCTTTCTTAAACGATTGCTGCAATAAGATACACCCACCGTCGTGAACAATTGCAGGAATAACCTACACCCCGCCTCTTAAACAATTGCTGCGAAAAGATACACCTTAGTTCTTAAACAATTACTGCAATAACCTACACCCTCCTTAAACAATTGCTGCGATAAGATACACCTTAGTTCTTGAACGACTGCTGCAATAAAATATGCCCTAGTTCTTAAACGATTGCTGGAATAACCTACACCATCCTTCTTAAACAATTGCTGCAATAGCCTACACCCTCCTTCTTAAACAATTACTGCGATAAGATACACTTTAGTTCTTGAACGATTGCTGCAATAAAAGATGCCTTAGTTCTTAAACGATTACTGGAATAAAATACACCCTCCTTCTTAAACATTTGCTGCAATAACCTGCACCCTCCTTCTTAAACAATTGCTGCAATAGCTTACACCCTCCTTCGTAACGGTAGCTGCAATAACCTACACCCTCCTTCTTAAACAATTGTTGCGATAAGACACACCTTAGTTCTTAAACGATTGCTGCAATAACCTACACCCTCCTTCTTAAACAATTACTGCGATAAGATACACTTTAGTTCTTGAACGATTGCTGCAATAAAATATGCCTTAGTTCTTAAACGATTGCTGCAATAACATACACCCACTTTCTTGAACCATTGCAGGAATAACCTACACCCCGCCTCTTAAACAATTGCTGCGAAAAGATACACCTCAGTTCTTAAACAATTGCTGCAATAACCTACACCCTCCTTAAACAATTGCTGCGATAAGATACACCTTAGTCCTTAAACAATTGCTGCAATAACCTACACCCTCCCTCTTAAACAATTGCTGCAATTACCTACACCCTCCCTCTTAAAC